ATACAGCTTTAGACAAAGGATTCATGACTCAGTGAATTGCTCCATTATCACTCAACAATTGCTCTGATACAGCTTTAGACACAGGATTCATGACTCCGTGAATTGCTCCATTATCACACAATTGCTCTGATACAGCTTTAGACACAGGATTCATGACTCAGTGAATTGCTCCATTATCACTCAACAATTGCTTTAGACACAGGTTTCATGATGAAATTTTTTTAATGAGTTTCGTGAAGTGCTTTGGCATGTTGGATAGATGTAGTACATAGGTATACATAATCATGCAACAAATTAATATTGCAGACATGGTACAAGTAAATGATCAGGGTCTGTTTGTTGCTTTGGATACTGTAGTAGGCCTAGCCAGAAATAATTGGAAAATATTTTTCACTGTCAAATTATCATATATTTTTTTTATCTTTCATGTTAATGAACTTTTCATATTACTACTATGGTAAATTTCTTGCTTTTAATATGAACTGTTATTGTTTTTGACAGGTCATGGAACATCTCATGCCATAATAGCAATATTGACAGCAAAACAAAAAAGATACTGGTACCTGCTCTAGCAAAGAAAGAAATCGTTACAAGAAAGTCTGTTGATTATAATGCGTTGCATTTCTGATGTCAAGTTGTTTGTGCGATAAATAAAAAATTAATATATTTCCTGCAAAGATCTTGAAGCAAAAAGATCAACAATGCAGATGTTACAGTAGTCAGTAAAAGCCAGGATTTGTTTGATACATAGGTAAATGTTATCTCAACACCTGAAAAAGACGTTATGCCATGACGCCGTCAAAAGTCTCACACTTCAGAAAACCCATTGGAGGGAGATCTCCCACACTGGACTCCTTAGAGGTTGGCAACCCTGTGTACCCCTGTAATATGTCGGGATGAAATTAAAGGTTTGTACATGCCACTTTTTAGATGATACAAGTAGACTAGAATTGGGTGGCAGAGTACAGATAAAATTGACAGGCTCTGAAGTCGGGTATCGCTCGTCTAAAATCTTCAAAGGACAGGTATCAACCTAGCGATTGGTAATTAATTTTTACCTGAAACTAATCATATAGCTAATGATGTGCCTTCGATGTTGTCAAGACATATTCCAGGGGTGTTAAATAGGTAAGTGAGCGTAACCTGTGGAATTGTGAGGATGTGGTTTTTCTAATACTCTTTTAGTTACAGGGTTCATATCTTGATAATCTCCAGTTATCACACATAACGTAGTTTATTTTTCAGTGAACTTACAGTATCACACATCAGTTGTCTCATTACACCTTTAGATATAGGGTTCATGTCTCATTGAACTTCAGTTATCACATATTACATAGTTCATCTGTTAGTGAATTGGTCCATTAACACACACCAGTTGTACTAATACAGAGCATTGCTATGTTATCACATATATATTGTTCATGACTAATACAGCTTTAATAACAGGGTTCATATCTCAATGAATCACAGAATATCACAGGTTGAAGAAGTATCTGACGGGTGGCCCAGGAATATCCTCTTCTCCCTCTCCCTGTAGTGACACCACCAAGTCTACATACAGTATACGTGAGGATGGCTTCAGCAGTTTCATCATCCTGTGGTAAACAACACAATTTTATATCATATCTATCACTACATATAATTATATATTTTGATCATTAGCAATACTGGAAAAAGTTTTTTATCAAGTCTCAATTAAGTTAATTTTAATTCTAACATCATTTTTACACATAATCAATCATTTATGTAGATAAACTCCAAAATAAAGATTTTTACTGACTAATCCAAACACCATCTTGAAAACAAGTCATTACATATATTCTGTAAACGTACATATTTTAGTGTAAACCTATTTTATGACAATACTACACTAATTCATTGCCTTAACCTGTAAATATGTCAGATGTGTTAACATTTGAATGCACTAAAACAACAACGTTTTCAGTGTATGTATTTTGATCATCTGAAATCAGGTCATGTACGGATGTCATCTTCAATTCAAATTGACAACATTGAGTAATTGTCCCTATAACAATATCAACTTTAAATTCATTACAGAAGCTGAACACTGATGAAGATCCTGACTTACGTTTGCGGTAGCCTTTTGGAGTGGCCAGGCATGAAGGGGACATACACCATCTTTACTCCATGGCCTACCATTGTCGCCTCAAAACCATACGTGATCTGGAAAAAAACACACACACAGATTACTTCATAGAAAGAGAAAACTAGGCAATAGTGAGAATTGTACAACCGTAGGAATTGTGTTCTAATCATAGTAATATTGCATCTGGCCCTGAAACATGAACTCTTTCAAGGTATCATAGTGTTTAAATCAAGGATAAAGGTAGTAGTGGTTACAACTGAATGTGTGACAGACAGACATGTCAAAAACTTTATTGTAACACTATATAAAATATCAGAGTACTGGAGAATGAACAAGTTAATACCCTAGCTGCATATTCAACACGATGAGAGAAGTCCCTAGAAAGTCCACTCACCTGGAAGTATTGTAGGAACTCCTGGAGTGTATAGTCCTTATTCCCCTGGACATCCCACCGGTCCCACATGGTCACAGTCAGGCCCTCTCTGTAACAAAAACAGCAACGTTATGGCCTCTAAAACCTCACACTCAGGCCCTCTCTGTAACAAAAACAGCAACGTTACGGCTTCTAAAAGCTCACACTCAAGCCCTCTCTGTAACAAACACAGCAACAGTACGGCCTCTAAAACCTCACACTCAGGCCCTCCCTGTAACAAACACAGCAACAGTACGCCTTCTAAAAGCTCACACTCAAGCCCTCTCTGTAACAAACACAGCAACGGTACGGCTTCTAAAAGCTCCCACTCAAGCCCTCTCTGTAACAAACACAGCAACAGTACGGCCTCTAAAAGCTCACACTCAGGCCCTCCCTGTAACAAACACAGCAATGGTACGCCTTCTAAAAGCTCACACTCAAGCCCTCTCTGTAACAAACACAGCAACGGTACGGCTTCTAAAAGCTCACACTCAGGCCCTCCCTGTAACAAAAACAGCAACGTTTTGTCCTGTAAAAGCTCACACTCAGGCCCGCCCTGTAACAAAAACAACAACGTTTTGTCCTGTAAAAGCTCACACTCAGGCCCGCCCTGTAACAAAAACAGCAACATTACAGCCTCTAATAGCTCACACTCAGGCCCTCCCTGTAACAAACACAACAACGGTACGGCCTCTAAAAGCTCACACTCAGGCCCGCCCTGTTACAAACACAACAACGGTACGGCCTCTAATAGCTCACTCTCAGGCCCGCCCTGTTACAAACACAACAACGGTACGGCCTCTAATAGCTCACACTCAGGCCCGCCCTGTCACAAACACAACAACGATACAGCCTCTAATAGCTCACACTCAGGCCCGCCCTGTTACAAACACAACAACGGTACAGCCTCTAATAGCTCACACTCAGGCCCTCCCTGTTACAGTCACAACAACGGTACAGCCTCTAATAGCTCACACTCAGGCCCTCCCTGTAACAAAAACAGCAACGTTATGTCCTCTAAAAGCTCACACTCAGACCCTCCCTGTAATAAACACAACAACAACGGTACAGCCTCTAAAAGCTCACACTCAGGCCCGCCCTGTAATAAACACAACAACATTATGTTCTCTAAAAGCTTTGAATTACACTAAGTCCATCCGCCAATCCAAAAATATTAGAACAGAGCTGTGTTGCTTCAGACATGTTCAAATAGCATTAAGTCACATTAGTGATGTTCCTAATAGGGCTAAATATATCAACATATGTTTTGGAACTGAAAACAGGAATAAATCCATTTAGAAAGCAAAAGAGACCAAGTTGTGACGTGGTACATTCAGTAAGACTGTATTTGCGGTAATATACTACTGCCAATTGTTATCAGTGTGAACAACAGAGACAATACTTACTTGAGAACGACTTTCTCCACCGGCCCTGGTTCAGATAACACCATCACAGGTAAGGCCAGGTTTAGGAAGCAGTTCTTATAACTTTCTATTGGCAACTGGTCTAGTGTCTTTATCAGTTCTATAGACACCTTCAAGGCAGATAAAGAAAACATTGTAAAAACGGTGTGACACAAACCTTTATAAACATCCTCTTCAGGCTGGTAAGTATAGATTGTTACAGGTTGCCAATTGCTATATGGAACACATTAAAAACAAATTTCCCCAAATCTTTGACAACATAAAACACAACAACCGAGACTTAACTGACTTCAGGAACTCAATAATCATTATCTAGGTATTCAATATCACACATGTGTCCTCTGACATGGCCAATACTGTACAATATGTCAATAATGTATTTATACCCATTCCATACAAAGTGTATAAACTCTCTATCGATGGGCACAAGTGACATATGAAATTTACAATTTCATCATATCTTTATACAGGTAAACAACACAAATCGCTCACTCAGCCCTAGCTTGACAAAGGGACCAGTCGGTCTTGAAGCATTGCCAGACATTTAATATGTATATTGTTTGTGCACAAAATAAAACTTTGGTGTTTTTTCTAATAACATTAATTTTTTACAAATGTGTGTATCCAAACAATAAACGAGTTTAATCTGTTATTAATGATACTTTGTGAAATACCTGCACATGCTCGTTATACCTGTGGTGTCATTTCTAGAAGTCATCTGTATCCAAATCAATGTTGAACTTTCTTCTCCAATACTCAACAGAATAATGATTTTTCACAAAAGGTGTTCGGTGTAATGATGTCACAAAATGTGGAAGAAGGCCAGAGTATTTTGAACTTATTCTTTGTGTGGAGTAACATATACAGCAGGTTATCACTCACCAAGCCTGCTACAGCAGCTGTTGTCGTGGCGATGGCAGGTACAATACGACCAGCGATACGTTTGACTTTGAGTCGGTCAGCACTGTCTATACTGTACATAGCAGCTCTCAGGTTCTGGTGGAAATAGTACATATCAGTATGTCAGGGACAACATCATAAACTTCACAAACATATTTACATCTATTAGGCATAATTATCTTTCCCAAGCTTCTAGTATTTTCTATAACAATACAAAATAACAGGCTGAAGGTTTTTATTCCGTATTTTGAAGTATCAAATAAGAGTACTGATATAAGACAATGTCTGTATATACTCACCGCGGCTGCAGTGATGAAGTCTATATGACTGTTATTGTCATCATCTTTCTCAAACTCAGCAACCATCATCTCTTTTATCACTGTGGAAAAAATGTAGAAAATCACAAATCTGAGGATTTTAACCCTTTAAAATATTTATTGTTCTAATTATACAGTAAATTTTGAAAAGATAACTCTACCAAAACCAAATGGTTTACAATCAATTAACTTCTTTTCTCCTGGTATATCTCAATTTATATGCTGTTATCATGTGTTTAAATCTTTTCCTTTCTTTTGTTTCAGCATTAATGCCTTCACTTAAGGAAAGACTCCATGGTGACAGAATGACATTTCCTGATACAGATCCAGTCCATGTATACAGAGTACTGTACCAACATATACAGGTGTCACATTTATATACATTAATGCTGGAGTATCTATTACTTCATGAATATGGTCACTTTCTTTATAACATTCCAAACAATTGGACCATGCCGTTGAACCAGAGTTGTTGGTTTATAGGGACAGACCTGGTGATCTGATGTTGCTCTCTGACAAGTCTTGACAAAAACTTTCACGGCCTGCATTAATATTTCCAGATCCTTCAGGCTTTATCCTTTAAGTATCATATTTAAACCCAGTTGTACCAGTTTGTCTTCATGAATGATGACCATCATTGCCATGGGTGTATAGATTGTATCTCTGTTAGATGCCTTAGAATGATTCCTTTTATAATCATTCTATAGGTGTATATAACACTTATACTATAGACAATACATGATCCAACGCTCCTACTGAAGAACATCACATTCTTGAGGTTTTGAGTATCTTCTACTCTTTATAATAAATTGTTATTAATTTTAAGTTTTATGAATGGAACTACATAAATCATTTCCTTTGAAATGATTTACCTTTTTCATGTGTTCCAACTTTTTGAATTGATGATTCCATCCTGTTGGCAGCGTCTACAAAGTCATCGTCACCACCTGTGTCGGCTTCCTTCCTTGCATTCTCGTCTGTTACAATGGTCTGCAGAAGACAAATGTCAAATATATTATTTGGTTTCAAATGCAAGGCACACAATGAACAGCTAATCGCATATTACCCATTTAGTGCCAATTTATAAAGTATGTCCAAGAAAACACACCGTTAGACTTACAGAAGAATAACAATTATCAAAAATCTGATTGAACTATCAATTATTCAGACATTGGTCCTGCAATGAACAGCTTCTTTTAAACTGTGTGGCCAGTTATCCAAATGACTGCTTATTCAAACTATTTGTATAACGCCCATTTAAGATTCAATAAATTATGTTTAAATATTTGCATATTTCACTACAACTTGATTTTAAACTACCAAGTATTAAACTTGGTTGTGATATAAAGTGAACCATCTAAAAGTTGAAGTTTTAATTTGCACCCTGGCCTTCGTTGGATCTGCCCACATCACTGACAGACAGACCTGACGGTAAGCTATACCTTTGAGGAGGCCTTGTACTCCGGCACCTTGATTGACTGTAGTATCTCACTGATAGTACTTGGGGACACATCCTGAATCAGAATCAATGCATTCATTATAAACTATAATGTATAACAGGAGACAGTGGTTTAGTTGGTTCACTGGTATTTATCGGTACAATAAATTTACTGCCGTAGATGGTCAGTTCAAGGCCCAAGTAAGAGCTGAAGAGAGAAAACTGTTTTCTTTCGAAATTACTGTTTCTATGTTAGATCTTAAATTAATACAATGTATCAAATGATGTTGATCCAAAGGTTAAAGATATGAGTAACATTTTGTAAATATACGAAATTGTACAGAAAAACCTTGATATAATGCTCCATCATTTATATGCTAACTCACTTCAAATTCATACCATATGTCTCCTTTTCTATATTTATTAACAATAACTTGAAAAAAATTCTGTATATAACACCAAACCTCTTTATAACATTGTAATTTCACTATAGCGATGGTGGCAATATAGCTCAGTTTTACGGTATTGGTACATAACAGGCCATTCATCTATATGTTATCAAAAATCTGAAATATCAATGATTTTCACAGCATTTTACAATTTTACATCATTTTTGTATTGATGATCAACACCTGTACTAACCCTCCTACACTTACCTGAGCTGAGTAAGGTATGAACACCTGTTGCTTATCTCCTACACTTACCTGAGCTGAGTGAGGTATCAACACCTGTTGTTTATCTCCTTCACTTACGTGAGCTGAGTGAGGTATCAACACCTGTTGTTTATCTCCTACACTTACCTGAGCTGAGTGAGGTATCCTACAGGCATCAGCGTACAGGTTTGCTGTACTTATAATGAAAGACAAATGCCTGCAACGACAAAAAGAATTTATTAATTTTCAGGATGAAACTATTTCCAGATTTTGCACAGAATTAGACTAATGACTTCACTTTATTTTACTAGACAAGTGAACCATAAAGAAAGGCCCCACTTTGCACATGCTATAAACCGATCCTATGTACATCATACCTTGTTCAAAACTAGGTACGATGATGTGATACCTGCTAATTTTCAGAAAGATTACTATGGGTAACGAAGTGTAATAATCAGTATTTTTTCGGTATGCTACAGGTAATTTAACAATATTTTCTGGACATAACAAATTTGACACCCATGTATATTGTAAAAGTAATTGTTGGTCAAACAATAAATAATTATGGCTAATTAGCAGTAAGTCTTGCTGAATAGGTTTCTTTACAATTCCTATTTGCTAAGAAAGTATTTCAGACACACCTGGATTTATTTATTTACTGAACATCACTAGAGTTGCTTCCCCTGCTATGGAATTGATACAACAGTATTGGTAAACTGTTATTCAGCAAGGCAGATTTTGCTCAAGCAAGGCAGATTTTGCTCAAATATGAAATTACAGGGTAGCCTTCATTTTTGCCTAGCATAAATGTTGACTTAACTTTACAAGATTCCAGTAAAATTTTACTACATTATTGTGTGGAAACTTTTGATTATTCAGAGTGTTTAACTAATAACCACAGTAAATCTATTTTGGTTATATTTCGGGAATATTGTTCTTATTATAGATACGTTGATTTAGTTTTTATGATTATTTATGGACGTAACGTTGTTTACAATGGACTCACGTATAATTATCAATGCTGAATTCCTGAGGCACTGGTGGTCGCTTCGGGGACTGCCAGAACAGGGCTGTAACACGATGATAGGAGTGATAAGGACAGTACAGAACAGGGCTGTAACACGATGATAGGAGTGATAAGGACAGTACAGAACAGGGCTGTAACACGATGATAGGAGTGATAAGGACAGTACAGAACAGGGCTGTAACACGATGATAGGAGTGATAAGGACAGTACAGAACAGGGCTGTAACACGATGATAGGAGTGATAAGGACAGTACAGAACAGGGCTGTAACACGATGATAGGAGTGATAAGGACAGTACAGAACAGGGCTGTAACACGATGATAGGAGTGATAAGGACAGTACAGAACAGGGCTGTAACACGATGATAGGAGTGATAAGGACAGTACAGAACAGGGCTGTAACACGATGATAGGAGTGATAAGGACAGTACAGAACAGGGCTGTAACACGATGATAGGAGTGATAAGGACAGTACAGAACAGGGCTGTAACACGATGATAGGAGTGATAAGGACAGTACAGAACAGGGCTGTAACACGATGATAGGAGTGATAAGGACAGTACAGAACAGGGCTGTAACACGATGATAGGAGTGATAAGGACAGTACAGAACAGGGCTGTAACACGATGATAGGAGTGATAAGGACAGTACAGAACAGGGCTGTAACACGATGATAGGAGTGATAAGGACAGTACAGAACAGGGCTGTAACACGATGATAGGAGTGATAAGGACAGTACAGAACAGGGCTGTAACACGATGATAGGAGTGATAAGGACAGTACAGAACAGGGCTGTAACACGATGATAGGAGTGATAAGGACAGTACAGAACAGGGCTGTAACACGATGATAGGAGTGATAAGGACAGTACAGAACAGGGCTGTAACACGATGATAGGAGTGATAAGGACAGTACAGAACAGGGCTGTAACACGATGATAGGAGTGATAAGGACGGTACAGAACAGGGCTGTAACACGATGATAGGAGTGATAAGGACAGTACAGAACAGGGCTGTAACACGATGATAGGAGTGATAATAAATTTGATTAATTAAATTTATTTTTTAAACCAATCTAATCCAACCTGTTGGGAACTTTGAGATAAATAGCATAATTAAACTGATATTACAATTAAAACAAAGTGTTCATAGAAATAATAAGGCCAAAATTATTTCTACAAAATAAATACGTAGTTAAGAAGCTATCATAGTTTGTAATAAGGAATATTAAATGTTCATTTCTTCAGACATGGTATCTTTATCAAAACGTTATAGAACTTATAGAGCTCAGTTTCAAGAACACTTACATCCGTCCTTTAGCTTTGTGTCTAGTGGGAAATGATGTAGTAGATGTCTCGCCTGTAAGTAAAGTATACAGAACTTTAACACAGATACTGAACACAATAGGTATACAGAATGTGAACATAGAACATGAACATGAGTGTAGTATAAAGAACATGAACACTAATAAAATATAGGGATCATTAACATACCGTAGAACATGAACACAAGTATACAGATCATATACAAAGAGCATGAACACAAGTATACAGAACATATACAAAGATCATGAACACAAGTATACAGATGATATACAAAGCACATGAACACAAGTATACAGATCATATTCAAAGAGCATGAACACAAGTATACAGAACATATACAAAGATCATGAACACAAGTATACAGATGATATACAAAGAGCACGAACACAAGTATACAGATCATATACAAAGAACATGAACACAAGTGTACAGATCATATACAAAGAGCATGAGCACAAGTATACAGATCATATACAAAGAACATGAACACAAGTGTACAGATCATATACAAAGAGCATGAGCACAAGTATACAGATCATATACAAAGAGCATGCACACAAGTATACAGATCATATACAAAGAGCATAAACACAAGTATACAGAACATATACAAAGAGCATGAACAAAAGTATATAGATCATATACAAAGACCCTGAACACAAGTATATGATCTGTATACTTGTGTTCATGCTCTTTGAATATGATCTGTATACTTGTGTTCATGTGCTTTGTATATCATCTGTATACTTGTGTTCATGTTCTTTGTATATCATCTGTATACTTGTGTTCATGTTCTTTGTATATCAACTGTATACTTGTGTTCATGGTCTTTGTATATGTTCTGTCTACTTGTGTTCATGGTCTTTTTATATGATCTGTATACTTGTGTTCATGCTCTCTGTATATGATCTGTATACTTGTGTTCATACTCTTTGTATATGTTCTGTATACTTGTGTTCATGTTCTTTGTATATGTTCTGTATACTTGTGTTCATGGTCTTTGTATAGGTCTATACATCCAAGTCATTCCTTACCCACACAGAGTTCTGTGTGGGTAAGGAATGACTTGGATGTATAGACCTACACTATCATGTGTCCACTGTACACAGTACTCTGTGTGGGTAAGGAATGACTTGGATGTATATAGACCTACACTATCCTGTGTCCACTGTACACAGTACTTTGTGTGGGTAAGGAATGACTTGGATGTATATAGACCTACACTATCCTGTGTCCACTGTACACAGTACTTTGTGTGGGTAAGGAATGACTTGGATGTATAGACCTATACAAAGACCATGAACACAAGTATACAGAACATATACAAAGAGCATGAACTCAAGTATACAGATGATATACAAAGAACATGAACACAAGTATACAGATCGTATACAAAGAGCATGAACACAAGTATACAGAACATATACAAAGAGCATGAACAAAAGTATATAGATCATATACAAAGACCCTGAACACAAGTATATGATCTGTATACTTGTGTTCATACTCTTTGTATATGTTCTGTATACTTGTGTTCATGTTCTTTGTATATGATCGGTATACTTGTGTTCATGGTCTTTGTATATGTTCTGTCTACTTGTGTTCATGGTCTTTTTATATGATCTGTATACTTGTGTTCATGTGCTTTGTATATCATCTGTATACTTGTGTTCATGCTCTTTGAATATGATCTGTATACTTGTGTTCATGTGCTTTGTATATCATCTGTATACTTGTGTTCATGGTCTTTGTATAGGTCTATACATCCAAGTCATTCCTTACCCACACAAAGTACTGTGTACAGTGGACACAGGATAGTGTAGGTCTATATACATCCAAGTCATTCCTTACCCACACAAAGTACTGTGTACAGTGGACACAGGATAGTGTAGGTCTATACATCCAAGTCATTCCTTACCCACACAGAGTACTGTGTACAGTGGACACAGGATAGTGTAGGTCTATATACATCCAAGTCATTCCTTACCCACACAGAGTACTGTGTACAGTGGACACAGGATAGTGTAGGTCTATACATCCAAGTCATTCCTTACCCACACAGAACTCTGTGTGGGTAAGGAATGACTTGGATGTATATAGACCTACACTATCCTGTGTCCACTGTACACAGTACTTTGTGTGGGTAAGGAATGACTTGGATGTATAGACCTATACAAAGACCATGAACACAAGTATACAGTTGATATACAAAGAACATGAACACAAGTATACAGATCGTATACAAAGAGCATGAACACAAGTATACCGATCATATACAAAGAACATGAACACAAGTGTACAGATCATATACAAAGAGCATGAGCACAAGTATACAGATCATATACAAAGAGCATAAACACAAGTATACAGAACATATACAAAGAGCATGAACACAAGTATATAGATCATATACAAAGACCCTGAACACAAGTATACAGATCATATACAAAGAGCATGAACACAAGTATACAGATCATATACAAAGAGCATGAACACAAGTATACAGATGATATACAAAGAACATGAACACAAGTATACAGATCATATACAAAGAACATGAACACAAGTATACAGAATATGAACACAGGTAAAGTATACAGAGCATTAACAGGAGTACACAAAAGAAAATCTAAAGTAAGTAGAATAGGCAGCAGTGACATGGTCTCAAATATATTTCCATCAAATCAATTACTATTAAATAATAGTAAACTATATTTATTGAAACTACCTGCTTTACTTTTAGTTAAATTCCCTTTATTATTTAATCCTGAGACTTACCCTGTGATTGAAGTACTTTTCAAACTTGAGCCTAGCTAGTACTACACATTCACACCATTCGACAGGCTTCGACCGCACAATCTTGCTGACCTGGATGGCGCCCTCTAGTGGTGACCCACGCTTTAGATTCTGATAAAAGATAATTGAAATCAATATGTAACAAATGATAATGATGACTGTGATTGAAAGTTCTGGGTATTCCTCATTTATGTTCATAACACTATTTTCGTAGATTTTTTTTAAGAGATTGTCATCAATTCACAATTAATTTGCTTACAATCATCTTGAATCTGAAAATTGCCTAAAGTCTGAAATTACTGATTAACATGAGCTAAGTAGTATTTTGTACAAGTGTGGCCTTGTGGATGACGTTGATATTGAAATATCCACTTCTGTCTGGGAGGTAGATAAAGATATGAGGTCCAAATACTTACATGTATGACTTTTAGTGGTTGACCTTGAGTGGTCCAAAACTTGTTAAATAAAGCTGGCTTCTGGGCAAATGAGCTTTCAAACTGCAAGTACAAATACTCTTATTACAAAACAAAAGTCAACATGAGTTACTCATGGTGTCGTTTGTTAAAGTATCAAGTATGTTAAAGTATCAAGTATGTTAAAGAAAGATTCTATCTATTTCTTTTAGAAAAGACATTTCAAAGGAATCTTATCAATCGGAACATCTGATAAGAAATTAAAATTCTGAATTTCATTATCTAGATTAAAGAAATACTAGCATATACTTTTAGCTATTGTACGGTCCCCTACATCCCATGCCCACTATAAACAATACTCTGTGTGGGTAAGGAATGACTTGGATGTATAGACCTACACTATCCTGTGTCCACTGTACACAGTACTCTGTGTGGGTAAGGAATGACTTGGATGTATAGACCTACACTATCCTGTGTCCACTGTACACAGTACTCTGTGTGGGTAAGGAATGACTTGGATGTATAGACCTACACTATCCTGTGTCCACTGTACACAGTACTCTGTGTGGGTAAGGAATGACTTGGATGTATAGACCTACACTATCCTGTGTCCACTGTACACAGTACTCTGTGTGGGTAAGGAATGACTTGGATGTATAGACCTACACTATCCTGTGTCCACTGTACACAGTACTCTGTGTGGGTAAGGAATGACTTGGATGTATAGACCTACACTATCCTGTGTCCACTGTACACAGTACTCTGTGTGGGTAAGGAATGACTTGGATGTATAGACCTACACTATCCTGTGTCCACTGTACACAGTACTCTGTGTGGGTAAGGAATGACTTGGATGTATAGACCTACACTATCCTGTGTCCACTGTACACAGTACTCTGTGTGGGTAAGGAATGACTTGGATGTATAGACCTACACTATCCTGTGTCCACTGTACACAGTACTCTGTGTGGGTAAGGAATGACTTGGATGTATAGACCTACACTATCCTGTGTCCACTGTACACAGTACTCTGTGTGGGTAAGACCTACACTATCCTGTGTCCACTGTACACAGTACTCTGTGTGGGTAAGACCTACACTATCCTGTGTCTACCCCATATAAAGTCCTTTATCTAACTCACCTTGTCCCTAGCCCACTGTATACAATGCTCTATCTGAGCAGGAAATGACTTGAGTGTACAGTAGGGTATATCCTCATCTACCGGGTCCCTCTGTAGGAGTCAAGAAAGTTAAGTTATTAGACAATAAAATGTTTAATACTCCAGGAGTGTCAAACTTTTAAAATATAATTCAACAAAGAACTTACAACTGTCTATTTTGCAAATTTATTTCTTGCAAATTTGACACTATAAATTAAATGTATCTACGGTAAAGCTTAAAATTTCATTTTTTTTTATCAGGTACCTATACGGTAAAATTCCTATGCGATGTAAGAAATTAATTTTACAGCAAATTGCACATATACCAGATAACTGCATATGCACCATTTACTATAGTGTATATTGTTGTAGATGTCTGAAACAGCTGCTAGTTACCCGACTTCCATAAGACTGTGAGGTGAGGAATGATGACCTGTACTTACCTGACTACCATAAGACTCTGTGAGGTGAGGAATGATGACCTGTACTTACCTAACTACCATAAGACTCTGTGAGGTGAGGAATAATGACCTGTACTTACCTGACTACCATAAGACTCTGTGAGGTGAGGAATGATGACCTGTACTTACCTGACTACCATAAGACTCAGTGAGGTGAGTAATGATGACCTGTACTTACCTGACTACCATAAGACTCTGTAAGGTGGGGTATGATGACCTGTACATGACCTTTGGTTCCCATGGTACCAGACTCCAACAAAGCCTTCTGATTGGTTACACATCGACTGTAACAGAAAAGGCCTGATTCAGAACACGTTTCAACAAAACACACTAAATTTAAAATCAAAACTTTAATAATTAACATAAAATGAGCAAAAATTCACTTAAGATGTACTTCCCTTCTTCTGTCCCCCTTGCCCTTTTGTGGGGTCATGACCTTGATCAAAACTTTTTGTGTTTGGTACTGAAAGTGTTCTGCAACACTTTCACCTCATGATCAGTCATAAGGGAGATGATACTAAATTTGTGAGAAAAAAATCTACAAATACACTACTGTACTAACGTTGACCTTGGTCTTGATCTCAGAACTTTGAAATACAAATGCATTTGAAATGTTCTTAAAACTTCTTTGTAACAAATTTTATCAAAACCTGTTGAGTGATGTTGCTAGAGTGCTGACATTGAATCCTGACTGAAGAGTGTCATGTCACATTGTCCACAAATATGGGAAATTTCAGGAGGGATTGTAAAAATTATCAGAAGTCATGGTTCCAAAAAGCCTCACGATGATTTAACCATGGCTTCCTTGTCATAACCTTGACCTAAGGGTACAAGGGTACAACTCATTTGAGGGGGAGGCTATACAAATGAATAAGATATTATAAGTTTTCTATCATTTTTTCTTTTCAAAAACAAAACAATAAGATTAAGATATGCCTGCTAATAACATCATTATCAGTTTACCTATCTACATATCGTCTGGCCTCCACATTGTCCAAAGCATTCACTACCAAGTCTTGGTTCCGGAAGAAATCATCGTTGTAATGTTCAGCCTCAGTCTGGGGACACACTGTAAACACACAAAACAAATAGGAGTTCCTATATTGATCATTGTTCTGTGCAAATCACAACACTTCCTTCAGTTATTGAAAAAAAATATATATGCCTGTCTCAAAAAACTCAATAGACTTTATTATTCTCTTTCCATTCCTTTAAATTAGAAAAACACCTGTATGATATAAATACCCCCTTTGCCCTGTGGTTGACCTAAATATATAGCAACAGTGACCTTGGTCTCGACCTTAGGACCCTGGAATACACACTAATCCAAAATATTCTCATTCTTGACCTTTGTATAAACTTAAATGAAAATTTGTTAAGAAATGAAGTTGGCAGAGTTATGACAAGGAATCACAAAGGGATGCAACAGGATGGACATGGGTTAACATGACGTGCTCCAAATGACCCCCCACTCCAGCCCCCAGAGGTAAAAAGTATTGAAGATATGATGAATTGAATAGAATTTGATTTGAGATGTACTTAAGCATCGGTTACATACCTTTGTTTTGTTGAGCTTCAATTCTTAATGCTGAAAAAATGAACAAACAAGTATTAAAAACAGTTACCTAAAAGGAAAAGGGGAAAACCAACGTCCTAGTTGTTGTGGGTTGTTAGTGGTCTGCAGTAAGACCTACGAGGGATATCCAACTGTATTCACTAGTACTCTGTCAAGGGAGGTAAACACAACACAAACAATGGAAAAGGTGGAGCAATATTAAAGTTTCGTCAAATACAGATGTATACTCACTGCCAACCTGTTTTGTAGACTTCCAATAATTCAGATTCACAGACAAATGTCCCAATGTTAATTTTGTGATTGACAGTGGTTGGTATTATAACATGTTCTGTATCGGATGTTTATTTTAAATAAGGCACGGTAGTCTAGTGGTAGGACGCCGGGCTCGTGACTGAAGGGTTGCGGGTTCGAGTCACGGTACGGCACTGTGTTGTATCTTTGAGCAAGATTTAAAATTTACTCCACTTGTTGAAGTCTACTCAGCTGTAAATGAGTACGTGGTTGGGCAGTGCTAGAATTGTAGAATGGTAGCTGTGAGCGCCGAAATGGCAGCTCTGGCTGTATGCTCCCCAGGGAGTTGAGAAAGGTATTGGCTGGTTGCAAAGGCCCTATAACCACGGATAATAATTTGTTAACCACTTTGAGACGACCTATGAACTAGGTTATGATAAAGCGGTTTATAAGAACCTCAAATTATTATTATTATTATTATCAAAACAATGGTTTAAACTGGTAATCAAAGCAAGCAAACTGTACTACAGCATTATTCAAATAACCACTAACTGGGCAAACTTACCTGGATTTATCTCCTTTGCTGACTGGGCTGCAGTTGTGCTCTTTGGTTTCTGTAAAAAAAAGTTAATATTTTTATATTTGACAAAAACATGCCAATTATTTGTCCTTTATTTAAGAAGCGGAGACCCAATTGCCTTGTATTGTTCACATTTCTTTTGATATGTAAACTACCAGTATGTAAATATGTTTCCACTATTCAAGACCTCTGACTATTGTTGAAAAATCAGAACAAAACTTAGTGACGGCAATGACAGGAACATTTGTATGACATTTGCTTAAATTTATCTTGTAAAATCAGAAATTAGTCGGAAAAATCTGTTAAGGATGATTATTCTTCACATAACAAGAAGTTGAAAATATCTCAACCAGTCAACAGACAGCACTTGCTATCTGTGAATTGAACAAAAAGATGATAACACTCCATCTTCACTGTCAATGTCTCAGGATCACAACTGTTGTTTACCAATACAAGACACTCTCAGAATCATTCATCATACAGGTGTCCAATATAATGTTATTTATATTTTATTTTATTTCATCTTGTAGTACATGTACATCAATCATAATCTGCACCTCTGAATGCAGTATGTAGAAAGTGAACTTTTGATTGGTCAATTATTAAACTGATTCACACAATGACAGACATCACTTTTGAAGTCTGTAACAGTGTGAAAGATATCAGTTTTATCAAGCCATGAAATATCTCACTGGCAAAAATTAAATGAATGTCCAATATCCAAATACAGTGGACTAAATAGATTAGACAAATGTTACAATGGTAAGGGATCTGGATAAAACCATGAAACACAACAACTAATTTCTTGGCCTAAGTACATAAAGACTTAACAGACAAGTGTAACACTGGTACGGGGCTTGGATAAGCCATGAAACACAACAATTAATGTTTTGGCCAAGGTAGACTAAATAGATTAGACAAATGTTACAATGGTAAGGGATGTAGATAAAACCATGAAACACAACAACTAAGTTCTTGGCCTAAGTACATGAAGACTTAACAGACAAGTGTAACACTGGTACGGGGCTTGGATAAGCCATGAAACACAACAATTAATGTTTTGGCCTAGGCAGAAAAATGTCCCTAGAATAACAATGGTAAGGGATCTTGATAAGTCATGAAACACAACATTATTTCTTGGCCTTAGTAGACTTAATAGACAAGTGTAACAATGGAAAGGGATCACAATAAACCATGAAACACCACAATTAATTTCTTGGCCTGGGTAGAACATGTACACTAGTGAAACATTGGTAAGGGACTTGGATAAACCATGAAGTACAACAATCAATGATTTGGCCTTAGAAGAATAGGGATCCTATCTCTGTCTATACTGAATGACACATCAAGTCAGATTTGGGGATTTTCAGCAGCTCAGTTATCAATACCTTGTATGCTTAAGGAGTCGATGTCTAATTTTTTAAATTTATAACATTTATCAAATGTTATGATATTTTAATGTTTCTTGTCTTAAATGATGATTTGAATCTTTATTGATGAACTTCAGTCAAGAATTTTGATATCTTTAAAAATATACTGGATTTAAGTTTTTTTCTGTAAAAAAGCAATAAAGCTAATAAAACTTGAGCAACTTTGACAAATGAATAACAGTGTGCAAACAAGCAGAAACACACTCTTATATGTACAGGTATGCCTTCACCTTATCTAACAGGTGAACCAGGAAGACTTACATACAAAAATGTAGCTCAAATAACATAACATCTCACCAGTCATAACTAAGTTTTCTGATATAGGTGAGGTAGGTTGGCAAAAATTGTTTTTAGAAAAAATACCAGACATTTAAGACTTTGGACATGGATACACAACTTTTAACTTCAGATTACTGGTACAATGATGAAGCAGCAAAAGGTCATCTAGGTCAATGTTTCACTGCTGTCTCACATGAAAAAGGTGGACCTACTTACTGGAAAAACCGTGTTATGAACCAGGTAGTACAGCCGTATAGTAACACCTTCATACCAGACATTCACTATTACAGGATGGCTTGCTCTAAACACCCAGGAAAACCAATTGAAATGGTGTGTTCTTCTTGCCACAATAAACTTGTTTGTCATGAATGTATAGAAAAAAGTCACATTGGACACAAGTTTGTAGAACTCAAAACAGCAGCAGAAAGGATCGTAGCTGGACTACAGCAGCAGAAAAGGGGAAACTCTTATTTTAGTGAAATCCAACGGGACTTGAAAGACTGTCAAACTGTAACTAACAGGGAACGTGAATTAGAAAAGCAATCAAGAGATGAAACCGTACGAAGACGTGACCTCCTGGAAAGGATTGTTAAAGAGATGGCAGAAAAACTCTTACAGGACCAAGAGAAATATTTCAAGAAAATATTTTCTACATTAGAAGAACATAAAAAAGATAATGAAGAAAAGGTACAGCAAGTACTCAAGTTTCAGTGTAAACTGGCAGAGCTGGAGAAGTCGACTGATTACATCAACGTGATCCAGACTGGAAAGTCAATCGTGTTACCGAGATACACAAAACACCAGATTCCCTCTCTGAAGAGAATGACCATGAAACCAGGGTGTGCCATTGATCGGGACCAGGTTCAGAAAGCCTTCGGACCAATAGACATTGATGATATGATTAACTCTTACATCGTCCTCCCAGTGCAAGCACCGTCGGTATACTCTGTCGCTGACAGTTTAGATTCAAATGACCTTTTTGGGGATGGAAATATGACTAGCCTTACTAGAGAGCAAAGCCTGGATTTAACAGAACTTGATAATGATGTAGGCAGAAGGAGACAGGTGTCTCCAGATTTACTGAGCAATCGACTACAGACTGTTTGTAACATCAGGGATACGACTGTCCAACAACCCTCCAGTGCAGCCATCTTAGACTCTCCGCAGTACAACCAGGAGACAACTTATGTGTGAACTTCACAGCCATCTCTGAACTAACTAGTGGTACTGCGATTCTGGTTACACTTCAAGGAGCTATACACAGTACTTGATAACTAGTGGTACTGCGATTCTGGTTACACTTCAAGGAGCTATACAAAGTACTTGATAACTTGTGGTACTGCGACTCTGGTTACACTTCAAGGAGCTATACACAGTACTTGACAACTAGTGGTACTGCGATTCTGGTTACACTTCAAGGAGCTATACACAGTACTTGACAACTAGTGGTACTGCGATTCTGGTTACACTTCAAAGAGCTATACACAGTACTTGATAACTTGTGGTACTGCGATTCTGGTAACACTTCAAGGAGCTATACACAGTACTTGATATGTAGTGGTACTGCGATTCTGGTAACACTTCAAGGAGCTATACACAGTACTTGATAACTTGAGTCAAGATATCTATAATCAAACTTAATTATGTTTTTATTCAATTTGTCATATTGATGTTTTCTTTTGGATATTTGATTCATGGACTCTTTCTTTTGTGTGACTTGGCTTACTTTTTGAGAACCCATTACATCTCTTAGAGAAGTTAGTGAGCTCATCAAAATGGATAATTTAATATTGATGACAAATATGTTGTGTGCATATTTCAAAGTTGATATGTGTATTTTCTTGTACGTCACTTCATGTTATGAACTGAGTTTAGACATCAATAAATACATGTATACACTTGACAAGTTGTACTTAGTTCAGATGTTTGAGTGGAAAGAAAAGTGGATGACTCCTCTGGAACTTGTATGGTTGAACTGTTCTGTACAGGTAAAATCAGTTGCCAGTTGTTAAAAGTGCATCAGCTTCTCATAATTGTTCTGAGCAAGAATAGGGATGGAAATAAAGGTTGATTTTCAATCAAATATGACCTCTCCACAGATGTTAGATATTACATTTGTCTATGGATAATTACAGTGAATCACAGTTAAATACATCTTGACATGTACACTTAATTTTCTGTTCAACAGTTAGTAATGATTCAATAAATATCTATTAACTTGGATATCAAAATATTTTCTTGCTCAGATCACAGTTTTTTCTTTTACAAATGACTAAAATACACACACTTTACTTTCACAGTACATATAAGGCCAAAACAAGGGTGTCTGTTTAGGGTTCCCGACCGACCCTAGCTTCTTACCCCCGACCCAAAACCCGCTGATTTTCGATTTTTAGAAGGTTCCTTGCCTTTCAAAATGGCTTCCAGCTCCGTGTTAGCGCTTAATGTCATCATATGGAGCACAATTTGCCTCCAAATGAAACTTGTTTATGTAATTCTTTGTTTTACATACAATTGCAGGGTCATAATCACATGACCAAAAATATACACACAAAAAAATCAAAAGAAATCCGACCTACCTACCCTAGTTTGTTTGCCAATGCAACCCTAAACAGAGTATATTTTTTGTTTGGCCTAAACAAATATGCATGTTTAAAACTAAAAAGACCCCAAATTCACCTTTAAAGTCACTGATTATAATAGCTTTATGCTGTGTGACCCATATCAGTTATGCATAATATTTGTACCTAACCTCTGTTGTGCTTTGTTACCCCCTCTCTCTCAAGTAAAAGTGCAAGAAGACCTTTAATTTGACTTCAGTATCCACGGTTATGTGCGTCGCCGGCAAACACTATAGTACAGGTGTGTCACTTATGATTACGTTATAGGCTGATCACTCCGACACATAACATATCTCTAGGCCCTGGAGTAGAGGGATCCATTTCCCAAGTCGGTGTTAGACAGTTAACTTACAGCACAGTGGTTCGTAACAAATGTCTAAATACACACATGCTACTGATATGGATGACAACACAAAGTTTATGTGTGCTTTTATGACCCATACATGTATCAGTACAGCATGATATTATGTGTATTTCAGACATTTGTAACGAACCCCTGTGGTTACTATATTGTACAGCAGGAGATTCTCTCGAAAAAAATGTTGACAAAGGTATCAAAACGATTTCATCTCTGCTAATACAAAGCGAATATATGTAACACAACCCATTTAACCATTTACACACAAACACCTACATGATGATAATGGTGATTAAACATAGACGTTAATAGTCACGTAATAATCGGATTGTTTACATTGGAACAGTGCGAACGAGCTCAAACCGGAACTACCGTTGACAGACAGCGCCAATATTTCTTAGCGGCCAACTATAAAGGGACGTAATGCGGTAGGCTACCATTGACTTGTATTGTTCACATTTCTTTTGATATGTAAACTACCAGTATGTAAATATGTTTCCACTATTCAAGACCTCTGACTATTGTTGAAAAATCAGAACAAAACTTAGTGACGGCAATGACAGGAACATTTGTATGACATTTGCTTAAATTTATCTTGTAAAATCAGAAATTAGTCGGAAAAATCTGTTAAGGATGATTATTCTTCACATAACAAGAAGTTGAAAATATCTCAACCAGTCAACAGACAGCACTTGCTATCTGTGAATTGATCAAAAAGATGATAACACTCCATCTTCACTGTCAATGTCTCAGGATCACAACTGTTGTTTACCAATACAAGACACTCTCAGGATCATTCATCATACAGGTGTTCAATATAATGTTATTTATATTTTATTTTATTTTATTTCATCTTGTATGTAGTACATGTACATCAATAATAATCTGCAGCTCTGAATGTAGTACGTAGAAAGTGAACTTTTGATTGGTCAATTATTAAACTGATTCACACAATGACAGACATCACTTTTGATGTCTGTAACAGTGTGAAAGATATCAGTTTTATCAAGCCATGAAATATCTCACTGGCAAAAATTAAATGAATGTCCAATATCCAAATACAGTGGACTAAGTAGATTAGACAAATGTTACAATGGTAACGGATGTGGATAAAACCATGAAACACAACAACTAATTTCTTGGCCTAAGTACATGAAGACTTGATAGACAAGTAAGTGTAACACTGGTAGGGGGCTTGGATAAGCCATGAAACACAACAATTAATGTTTTGGCCTAGGCAGAAAAAGTTCCCTAGAATAACAATGGTAAGGGATCTTGATAAGTCATGAAACACAACAATTAATTTCTTGGCCTTAGTAGACGAAATAGACAAGTGTAACAATGGAAAGGGATCTAGATAAACCATGAAACACAACAATTAATTTCTTGGCCTTAGTAGACTTAATAGACAAGTGTAACAATGGAAAGGGATCTGGATAAACCATGAAACACAACAATTATTTTTTTGGCCAAGGTAGACTAAATAGATTAGACAAATGTTACAATGGTAACGGATGTGGATAAAACCATGAAACACAACAACTAATTTCTTGGCCTATGTACATGAAGACTTAACAGACAAGTGTAACACTGGTAGGGGGCTTGGATAAGCCATGAAACACAACAATTAATGTTTTGGCCTAGGCAGAAAAATTTCCCTAGAATAACAATGGTAAGGGATCTTGATAAGTCATGAAACACAACAATTAATTTCTTGGCCTTAGTAGACTTAATAGACAAGTGTAACAATGGAAAGGGATCACAATAAACCATGAAACACCACAATTAATTTCTTGGTCTGGGTAGAACATGTACACTAGTTAAACATTGGTAAGGGACTTGGATAAACCATGAAGTACAACAATCAATGATTTGGCCTTAGAAGAATAGGGATCCTATCTCTGTCTATACTGAATGACACATCAAGTCAGATTTGGGGATTTTCAGCAGCTCAGTTATCAATACCTTGTATGCTTAAGGAGTCGATGTCTAATTTTTTAAATTTATAATATTGATCAAATGTTATGATATTTTAATGTTTCTTGTCTTAAATGATGATTTTGAATCTTTATTGATGAACTTCAGTCAAGAATTTTGATAACTTTAAAAATATACTGAATTTAATTTATTTTCTGTAAAAAAGCAATAAAGCTAATAAGACTTGAGCAACTTTGACGAATGAATAACAGTGTGTAACCGAGCAGAAACACACTCTTACATGTACAGGAACAGGTGAACCAGGGAGCCTTACATAGCTCAAATAACATAACAATTCACCAGTCATAACTAATTTTTCTGATATAGGTGAGGTAGATTGGCACACAAAAAAAATAGCAAAAATACCAGGCATTTAAGACTTTGGACATGGATACACAACTTTTAACTTCAGATTACTGGTACAATGATGAAGCAGCAAAAGGTCATCTAGGTCAATGTTTCACTGCTGTCTCACATGAAAAAGGTGGACCTACTTACTGGAAAAACCGTGTTATGAACCAGGTAGTACAGCCGTATAGTAACACCTTCATACCAGACATTCACTATTACAGGATGGCTTGCTCTAAACACCCAGGAAAACCAATTGAAATGGTGTGTTCTTCTTGCCACAATAAACTTGTTTGTCATGAATGTATAGAAAAAAGTCACATTGGACACAAGTTTGTAGAACTCAAAACAGCAGCAGAAAGGATCGTAGCTGGACTACAGCAGCAGAAAAGGGGAAACTCTTATTTTAGTGAAATCCAACGGGACTTGAAAGACTGTCAAACTGTAACTAACAGGGAACGTGAATTAGAAAAGCAATCAAGAGATGAAACCGTACGAAGACGTGACCTCCTGGAAAGGATTGTTAAAGAGATGGCAGAAAAACTCTTACAGGACCAAGAGAAATATTTCAAGAAAATATTTTCTACATTAGAAGAACATAAAAAAGATAATGAAGAAAAGGTACAGCAAGTACTCAAGTTTCAGTGTAAACTGGCAGAGCTGGAGAAGTCGACTGATTACATCAACGTGATCCAGACTGGAAAGTCAATCGTGTTACCGAGATACACAAAACACCAGATTCCCTCTCTGAAGAGAATGACCATGAAACCAGGGTGTGCCATTGATCGGGACCAGGTTCAGAAAGCCTTCGGACCAATAGACATTGATGATATGATTAACTCTTACATTGTCCTCCCAGTACAAGTTCCGTCGGTATACTCTGTCGCTGACAGTTTAGATTCAAATGACCTTTTTGGGGATGGAAATATGACGAGCCTCACTAGAGAGCAAAGCCTGGATTTAACAGCACTTGATAATGATGTAGACAGAAGGAGGCAGGTGTCTCCAGATTTACTGAGCAATCAACTACGGACTGTTTGTAACGTCAGGGATACGACTGTCCAACAACCCTCCAGTGCAGCCATCTTAGACTCTCCGCAGTACAACCAGGAGACAACTTATGTGTGAACTTCACAGACATCTCTGAACTAACTAGTGGTACTGCGATTCTGGTTACACTTCAAGGAGCTATACACAGTACTTGATAACTAGTGGTACTGCGATTCTGGTTACACTTCAAGGAGCTATACACAGTACTTGATAACTTGTGGTACTGCGATTCTCGTTACACTTCAAGGAGCTTTACACAGTACTTGAAAACGAGTGGTACTGCGATTCTGGTAACACTTCAAGGAGCTATACACAGTACTTGATAACTAGTGGTACTGCGATTCTGGTTACACTTCAAAGAGCTATACACAGTACTTGATATATAGTGGTACTGCGATTCTGGTTACGCTTCAAGGAGCTATACACAGTACTTGATATCTAGTGGTACTGCGATTCTGGTTACACTTCAAGGAGCTATACACAGTACTTGATAACTTGTGGTACTGCGATTCTGGTTACACTTCAAGGAGCTATACACAGTACTTGATAACTTGTGGTTTAACTTGTACTCCTTGATATCAAATATCACCTTAGTGACAAATAAGTGGTGAGTTTTAAAAATTTACTCTTCAATATTGTACAGAATTTGAAAAGTGTTGGAAAGTTTTGATGAGTTTTAAAAACTTGAGCTCTAAAGTGATATTCCAGCTTACTTTAAATAGTATTTCCATTGCAAAGGGAGATTATGCTATTGGACCGCAAATGTTTTTTTCAATACATGTGTAATTATTATTGGCAAAAACATACATTTTACCAATAAACTTGAAATTAACATTGACTTAATATGGTTTTTACCACTAAAAAGGAAATAAGAATATGGATTTTACCAATAAATGTGAAATTAATATTAGCAGAATATGGATTTTACCAATAAATGTGAAATAAAAAAATAAAAAAAAAAAATTCTAAAAAATACATTAGTATATATATATATATTGGTTTATATTTTCAATTATAGTATATCAGTTTTATCTTCTTGTAATATGATGTATATGTACATGTAACTGTTCTGTTTCACTGTGTCTTGATAAAGGAGTGGATCGCTCCAAAAATTTGACAACCTAAACTTGTCCACACTGTTGGAATTACTTCTTTGCCCCATTTATATACATAACATGACATAACACAAACATATATATAAAGACACACACACTCATTCATTATCATACAAACACCAATACAATTATCAGAAAGGAAAGGTAGGATTATTGAAATTTTGTAATACATTTTGAATATCTCTGTATGCTAGCTGTCAGTGTGAGCGTAACCAATATTTACATTTACTCAATATAACAATTATATTCATAAATTGATAAGTTACTTATGGTAAATCAGTCGTAATTTCAAGTTTGGGTGTTTCAAAAAAAGTTTTGCCATTTGGCCCATCCTTTTTGAAACTGGTTTAGTAGCTTTCTCCCTTACTTCTAGCAATGTATTTTTGAGTTGTATATTCTGAAATAAATATTAGCAGAATATGGATTTAACCAATAAATGTGAAATAAATATTAGCAGAATATGGATTTAACCAATAAATGTGAAATGAATATTAGCAGAATATGGATTTTACCAATAAATGTGAAATAAATATTAGCAGAATATGGATTTAACCAATAAATGTGAAATAAATATTAGCAGAATATGGATTTAACCAATAAATGTGAAATAAATATTAGCAAGTTTACATGTAACTTACCACCATAAAGTATTCAATTTTTACCTAGTTAATTAATTATATATATCATTGTATATTGATGTTCTCCTGCATGATAAATATTTTATGTATATATTGATTATAGTAACATCCTTTGTGTGGTAATAAAGATGTTTGTGATAATTGTCAATCATGTCGATTGTTATAAATTAAGAGCACAAGCACAGTGACACCACTGTTGTACTTCTTCAAAACAAATTTATTGCTGGATAAAATATAGGTCAAGTTCAGATACTTCATAAAAAGCTTTAGTAGATAGAACCTTGCTAGAATTAGCCATGTAACAATTATAGCTACCCAAAATTGGATGGATTCCTGCTCGACCATGTGGGTTTTCCCTGGGTTGTAGCGACATGGCAAAAGGTCAATAGGGCATTTATTTTAACCGTGAATTTGTATACCCAATCAGGCCATTATAATAGTATAAAATGGCAGCCAATATTTTTCATTTGACAAAGGGTCTCATTTGGGAATTCCCACCTGCTACTTTTTGCTCATTTAAGGGTCCACTGGGCTTATCCCCTGTGAAATACGTTATGTTTGTGGCTATATGATGGGGATCGTAATTGTTTTGAATAGAGATGAACACCAGAATTGTTGCCCTGCCCTTCTGGCACTTGGGGTTACATCATCTTTTTTATACCAAAATTTGATCAAGTGTTCAGGAGAAGAAAGGCTTTAAATGAATAGGTTGACAGAGGCTGCACCATCACGTAAACTCAACAAGCTACATTTTACTCAGGAAAGTTAACTTATTTTGAAAATATTAAAATGAGAAAACATCCTGTACTTCACTTACCACAGTTATAAAACAAGGAGACAATGAAGACCTCTGTGAAATGAAACTACGATCTTTGACAAATTGGTGACATTGCTCTTTCTTAACCAGTGACGTCCTTCATATAAAGAACAATTCCATAAATTTCTTAGAAAGGAACACAGAGTATTGTTGGGTTTTTAAAAATCTGTCCTCTGTCTAGTGAACTTGCGAAAATGTACTGCCTCTTGTCTAGTAAAACAGCAGTTGTTAGCTCAGGAGTTGAGACATTTCAAGGTAAGTATATATAGCTACTAGGTCACTATTCCACTGAGCCTACTTACCCGAATGTGGTGAGGTCTGAACAGAAATTGTCTGTTTAAGTTGGACTTCTCTATTAGGTCGTTGTCTGTTATAGTTATCTGGAATATTTAAAAAGATATACTTATAAACATTGATCAGTCCAGACTTTCTGATTTACTAGTGTAACAAACTCAGATATATTGATCTCATCATGTTATTAAGTAGGAACATGATGTTTTGAGTCCATATCAATAACTCTAAACTTGATAAAACATTTTTTATTCATCAGTGTTAATTCATAAAGACGTATCCATGGAAACCGTTTCACATTTCTAATTGAGGGAATTAACAATTATACCCTGAACACAATTTTCAAGTTAGACAAATAAAACAACGCCTTAACAAGAATTACTTGTAATTCTATGCTTTTTTTGTGCAATCTTACAAACTCTATGTTCAATTTCTGATCCTGCTTTATCTATAATCTGGATATAACTAAACACCAGGGGTGAAAATTGCATATATATTTGTTAAAATGGTGTACTTTCATTTTCTCTTAGGTAATATTTACATCTATACGTTGGGTTAGAACAGATGTATTTTAATCAGGGTTGTGATCATATTGCAAATAAAGAGGAAAATGTACATGACATGATTTTTTTCAATAATTAAGTACAAGTAAAACTGAACCACTGGGGAAATTACCACGGTAATGATTCTAGAGACTAAGTCCTACATAGTGTGGACTTGTCTTCATATTACCCTGGCTGTTGCTATGACATTAAACCTGAAGAAAAAAAAAGAAAAAAAAAGTACTGTACCTGGCCCTTGTCCTGTGAAGCAATCCCCATTAGGGCATAGTTCTTCAGCATCTCACAGCCGATAGCCCCACAGCCGACCTGGTAAGGAGCAAAGTCATAGTCTGTATACATAGTGGGTTTACATGTACAGTCCTAGTCTATAAACAGCCAATAGCCCCACAGCCAACCTGGCAAGGAGCAAAGTCATAGTCTGTATACATAGTGGGTTTACATGTAGTCCTAGTCTATAAACAGCCGATAGCCCCACAGCCAACCTGGCAAGAAGCAAAGTCATAGTCTGTATACATAGTGGGTTTACATGTACAGTCCTAGTCTATAAACAGCCAATAGCCCCACAGCCAACCTGGCAAGGAGCAAAGTCATAGTCTGTATACATAGTGGGTTTACATGTAGTCCTAGTCTATAAACAGCCGATAGCCCCACAGCCAACCTGGCAAGAAGCAAAGTCATAGTCTGTATACATAGTGGGTTTACATGTACAGTCCTAGTCTATAAACAGCCAATAGCCCCACAGCCAACCTGGCAAGGAGCAAAGTCATAGTCTGTATACATAGTGGGTTTACATGTAGTCCTAGTCTATAAACAGCCGATAGCCCCACAGCCAACCTGGCAAGGAGCAAAGTCATAGTCTGTATACATAGTGGGTTTACATGTCCAGTCCTAGTCTACAAACAGCCGATAGCCCCACAGCCAACCTGGTAAGGAGCAAAGTCATAGTCTGTATACAACTACATCTAAATGTATTTACATGTAGTCCTAGTCTATAAACAGCAGATAGCCCCACAGCCAACCTGGCAAGGAGCAAAGTCATAGTCTGTATACAACCAACAAAACAAATATCAAGCATGACTTTAGGCTTTATCCTTCTCTATAGAAGATTTTTTTTCAAAACAAACTGACGCGGGAAATTCATCAGATAGACAGACCTTTATACTCAACTGTTTCTTTGTTTTGTTTAACTTAAGTGTTACATTTTCACAAAAAATACTACACCCTAGCAAAGCAAAGACAAAACATCAGGATAATCAACACACAAGCTTACCATAAACAATCTCATGTTGGCTAGCTGACAGCATTTGCTCTCCCCTATACAGATTCTCAGAGCATCATACCGATCACCTCTGTAAAATACAAGAATCTATCATAAGATCACGTAATTATTCAGTCGTATCATATCAGTTTTGTATAAATATGTCTAACACTTTACTTCATGTAAAACATAAAATCAAACGACTATCAATTTCTTAGGAACAATCAGTTTCTGCATATGTGTTATCGTCTTGGTTAAAAAATCTTTACTGACTTTATTAAAAGCTCTGCATAATCTTTATGATAGCACTTTTTTTTATTTGTGACTTAGATAAAAAATACTCTGCAAATAGGTTCCAGATATTATTTTTCATATCATGATGGTTTTTGACTGAAAGTTGTAGGTTATATAAATGAGAATTAATTCACTCCAATAGATAAATCTTAATCCATCAATTCTGCATGTAATTTTATTAATATATCTCTTATAACTTCAAAAATAAATATATTTATGACTGATTTCACAAAGGGTGACAACAGATTAATTAGAACAATTAAGCAATTATGCAATTTACCTTGGCTGGAACTGGGCTGGGTTGATGGCGTCTGTCTTATTGACAACATCAACAGCATCTAAATATAGCTGTAATACAAACGTGTCACAACATAAGACGAGACCTATCATAGCTAGTGTTAGATAACATACTAAACAGAAGCTTCAACATATTTAGTTCACTCAGGGAAAAATTTACTAGGAAATGAAATCAATTGCTCTGCTAGGAGGGAAAATGGCACTTTAACTTGTATTTAAAGTCAAAACACCTAAGCTCGACTGAATAGGCACCAAATTTTGAACAGTGTTACCATCGGTGTCACACTGTTCAGTAAAATTTGTCACCAACTAAACAAGTTTTGAATTGTTCTTGATTCAAAAAGCAACTGACCCACTGATTGAGGGGAGTGAACTTTCCCGTGAGTGCCTTGAGCCCCTCCTGAGCCACAAATCCCCCGATAGCTGCACACAGAGGAGCAAAGCATCCGCGGGCTGTGAATGACAACATTCGCACCAGGTCCTCATCCACTGGCTCCACCTGGTGGGAAAGACAGACAGAGAAAACACAATGATTCAATTTATCTATGTTAATATCTCAACAACATTAAACAGATTTAGCATTTATATTCTGCGTGCAGAAATTTGCCTTTCTTTTGTGATACAAACAATTGTTGTCATCATTCAAACAACTAATCTCATAAAAATATTGTTGAAAGCATGACTCTTTTTTACTCATATATCAATTTTACTATTAAATTATTTGATTTGCAACATAATCTCAAGTCTTTCAATATATGATGTCCAACCTTGTTAGTGAGGTTCTTGTTGATATCATGAGCAAGGGACACAACTCTGGCTGCATCTTTCTGACACCTGAAACACAACAAACCTTCATCATCCTTGTATAATAAATGCACATTGTCACTTAAGACCACAGTCAAGTAATTACAGCAGAATTCGTTTTGACTGTTTTGAAGAAATCATATAAAACATTCCCCTCCCTAACCTATCCACTCACCCACCATTTCCAACTCTCCGTTTTATTTTTCCTTTTTGGCCCAACTCTCATTCCCAATAGATCAGCCTGTTTGCACATTTCTAAATCAACACCAGAACTTTTCCCACCAAGTATGGTTGTTATCTATCAAATAGTTCAAGCGGAGCAGTTGTTACAATCAATATGGCCACCTTGCCACTTTTTGTCCCAATCCTCCATTACCTAGACTGTCAGCCCCTCTGTAAGTATAATTTGTAATGATCAACACCAGAGGATGCTCCCAAAAAATGGCTGATATTCATTATATGGTTCCAGATAAGTTGCTTAAAGAAATATGGCCAAATCACTCTTTTTTTTGGTCCCGCCCCTCCGCCTCCTGAGGATCAGTCCCTCCATTTGTGCAAAGGAATCCCCACCACCTGAGCATGTTAAGTCTAACTTCATGAAACTCTGATTAGGGATTCATCAGAAGAAGCTGTTAGGAGAAATTATTGACGGAGGATGGACGAACATGATATGGCATAAACATATCACATCGGCCCTTCAGACCAGGTCAGCTGATAAAGTGATATTTCCTGGTAGGCGGACTCTTCTTCACATCTCTACAAAGGTGTCCTCTGAATGTGTTGAGCCACAGAATCTACAGCTTCAGAAAATAAACCCTACCTTTGTGTCGACCAAGTTATCATATACCTACCATACATTGGGGAGATGGCCGCTCTGTTCCTGGTGATACTGATGTAGAGCCAGCACTGCAAGGTGTAGGTTGGAGGGAGCCTGGTGAATAAAGGGAACCCAACAATATTATACATAAATCTACCAGGTGAATAAAGGGAACACAACAATATTATACATAAATCTACCAGGTGAATAAAGGGAACACAACAATATTATACATAAATCTACCAGGTGAATAAAGGGAACACAACAATATTATACATAAATCTACCAGGTGAATAAAGGGAACACAACAATATTATACATAAATCTACCAGGTGAATAAAGGGAACACAACAATATTATACATAAATCTACCAGGTGAATAAAGGGAACACAACAATATTATACATAAATCTACCAGGTGAATAAAGGGAACACAACAATATTATACATAAATCTACCAGGTGAATAAAGGGAACACAACAATATTATACATAAATCTACCAGGTGAATAAAGGGAACACAACAATATTATACATAAATCTACCAGGTGAATAAAGGGAACACAACAATATTATACATAAATCTACCAGGTGAATAAAGGGAACACAACAATATTATACATAAATCGTCCAGGTGAATAAAGGAAACACAACAATGTTATACATAAATCTACAAGGTGAATAAAGGGAACACAACAATATTATACATAAATCTACCAGGTGAATAAAGGGAACACAACAATATTATACATAAATCTACCAGGTGAATAAAGGGAACACAACAATAGTATACATACATCTACCAGGTGTATCACAAGGTAACACATAGAGGCCTGTACCATTACATCACTGATTTTCAATATTACTCCAGATAAGGTCAGTTCTTACCCAGCAGCGATTTCTTTTTAATGGACAAAAAAACAGATATGCTGACAACAATATCTTTCAAGTTTACAAACAAATGGAGAAGTAAAGTATGCTGACATGCCAAGCAACAATGATACATACAGTGACCATTAGTATATTATATAAGCTAGTTAACACATTCACCCCTACATATTTAAACTGGACTTGCCCCGTCTTTAAATTGGTAAGGTCCAAATGTGACTTCAGGGGTGAATGGGTTAACATAGCTGTACTTACAGAGAATTTGGACAGATCAGGCATAAGTAGAGCAGGGTCTTTCAGCTGTGACTCCATACTTTTCTGTAAAACAGAATTCAAATGTTTAACTATCTATGTTTGTGTATGTATTGATATAAGTTCAAATAAATATACATTATTTCAAATATGCCTTGGTAACACTGACTTTAATGGTTAAAACCTCAGTTGCAGTAATCACTTTACTGTTGCGAGAGATTGATTCTCATATTTGTCCACAATGAGGATCTAAATCTTCCCAATACCAATTACAAAGACAAATTCAGTATTAAAATAACATTCCTTTAAATGGAGAGTTAAGTATTTACACATAAAATCTGCAGGAATTATTCACAACAAAAACCCATTCATACCAACTGGAATGATTACAGTATATTGACAATCTTCATTTCCTGTGCGTAAGATTTATATTTACATATTCATATTTATTATTTATATTACTGAAGGAAGGTCAGGAGTAGGGAGCAGCTTTAAAATAAAACAATCCACAGAAATTCCATTGCCTATTTTATTACAGTTATTGTGTTGTTTTACTGTGTTGTTTTACTGTGAAATGGTATGATATGGTTTAAATACCACAACTATTTCAATGAAACAACTTTTATAACAGTATCATGAAAATATTAGGGCTGATTAAGTACCCAGGAGTAGGGTACTGGTCTGTTTGGATTTCCTGACATTTTACTGCACTGCAGGATCTTCATCCGGGTCACAATAGTTTAAATGTTTTTAAGTACTGAACACTTACAAACGAGAATTTCTGCGGAGCTTTGACCTGGGTGACGATACCCCCGTGTTCATATGGTGTGAAGGTTTCCCCACTAGTATCACAGATCCCAAATGTTGACGGGGACAGCACTGACAACATAAGGAACACATGTAACTATAAAACAGACTTCAAGTAACAAAGGTGGAACGTTGTCACTGTCACTCTAATGTTACGAGATATACATTTTCATGGTTAATGCAAAGAGACTCATTAGTGATTTAGAGTATCTCACAAATACAATATCTCACTAAATATTTCAAGAACATTTATCTAAATATTTCTAAAACCAGTATTTATCTAAATATTTTACAAATATTTATGCAAACATCTCACATATAGTTATCCACATACAAATGTATAAGGGCTTTAGACATATCAGTGTTTGTGCATTTCAAAAAATTTGAATTCAAACATAATTTGATGTTGCATTTATCATCATTACTTAAGAAACCAAAGAGTGTGGACTGACAAGGTTGAGAATGTTGATAGATTCACACTTAAACAAATACTGACCTTTGACCTTGCATGTCATTCCATTCAATGCGGTCATTCCATTGAGCTCCCTAAAGGTCACTATGTCACCCGTCTCAAGTCCGTGAAACTTGTCCTTCAGGCAGGTGACCACTCCAGGATTGCCCTACAAACAAACCAAACAAAACAGACTAAATGATTAAGGAGGCTTCCTGGTCCAGGTCTATGGCCAGGATCAAAAGAAAACTTCAATTAACTGTATTTGTGAATATCACTTTATATAACACCTCTATGACCAACATAGACTAAAGCACATTTTAGAATCTTTTTTATTAGCACTGCTTAGCTCAGAAATATAGATGCTTAAAATTCATACTTTAAACATTGAAATATTAGAATACTCCTTTAACCAAAAAGCATTAGTAAAAGGCAAATTATAATGGTGAAACGTTTTTACTACTGAATGCAATGACTGAAAAATTAACGTACAGAAGTACTAGGAATGTCCTTGACCTGAATTATGGCCATCAATTACCATCCTTTCATTGCCGAGAACTAGACAGGTCTACATCACTGCTAGACATACCTTTGTTACATTTTCTATAAATGTATCTCGGAGTTCTTCTCCATTGACATCTGTCACTTCAAACTCATCTCCAAAGTCACAGAATACACTGCTCACAAGTCCATATACATCAGCACTTATAAACTACAAACACAAAGGAAACGTACACATCAACACTCACAAACAAATACAACGGAAAACGTGTAGCAAACAAATAGAACGGAAAACATGTAGCAAATAAACATGTAACATCCTGAACTAAATCTTATGAACAATAATCAAACAGTAATATTAATAGTCAGTAACAACACTTCTAGTAAAGATGATACAATTGATAAATACTGAAAAAGTACATTCACATACTTGCTTACATTTTGTTTCAACGGGGGAGATACCCCATGCTCAAAAACAATACATTGGGGAAAAATAACTCATTTAAAATGGCATATTTTCAGTTGTCCTTCAGACGAAATCATTAGATCTTACAAAATAGGAATAGTTTAGAAAATTCACTGACTGGAAATGTTAAACTTGAGGGTCCAAAATCGTGAGTCTCCCTCCAAAATAGGGAAAGTTGACAAGTGTGCAGAGGTTAATATTCTGACAACAATTAAGCAAAATGACATTACAAAACAGTAATGTTCCCCTGAACTCAAATACTTGGTATAAAGCGTGTATCAGGCAATAACTGTAATCAAATGTACCCAGGAACTAAACTGGGAGTTATTTCAGTAATAATAATAGATAAACCTGGACAAAAATTCTTTATTACCGGTATGTTTTTCATAAATTACAGAAGTGATCTTATAACTGCTAATATGTACATTATTACTGTTGAAGGGCCCAAAGCAGGGCAGCTGAACATAACACACAGAAAGGTCATTGGAGTGACCGCTCAAACAATGAATTGTATAGATGATACTGTAATCGGGTGTTTATACCAACTACACTACTATGATACACATCAATACAACATTGTATATGTAAATGTTTATACCATAACTGCTGTAGGTTTTACAAATTCATGGTTTATTTTTCTGTAGTTTCACTGTGTGAAATAACTTCAAGCGATGCGACATCACAACACCTTTTCTACATCGAACTAACATTGCATCATCACATCAGATTTTCTCCAGATCAGTGAGGTAAACGTTATTTTAAGTGTTTGGTTAGAGAACAAAATTCTTTTTCCCGGATATACAAGTTACTGGATATCCAGACATCCAACTGGTGAGAGTTGATTTATATTTCAATCCTGATTTTCTACATATCCTAATGAGTTGATATGGACTCAATACTATATCCACTCCATTGCCAACAGTGTAAACTCACTTGTATAGGAGGTGACTGGGTTCGGCAGAGCTGGTTGATTTTCAGCTGTAGCTGTAGAGGGACCTCTGTCAGTATTACACACTGGAAAGATAACAATTATGTATTATTATTATTGATTAACAGCTTTCATTATCACTGATCAAAAAAGATTATTTCACACATGTTTAATTCAGAAAACAAACAACTGTTGGATTAAATTACATAGTAAAACATGCTTAATGCTAAGAAAATGCTTAAAGAAACTTGTATCTGTGTCAACTGGAAAGGCTTCTAAACATCAAGATTTATTAAGAAGTATGGCAATTCGAAACTATTTTTTCAGGTCCTCTGGGCTTCATTATTGATATGAGGACAGAGTTCTACTGTATTACAAAATGTCCATCTGTGGAGTAGTATTACTGTCTTTGTGTTGTAACAACATCATTAATATACAGACAATGCTGGTTAATGGTGATATAACTTTACACAACGACATAATGGTTAACTTATAATTTGCTTTCGTTCCTGCATCTGTTAGAATACATTAGCCCTGTGTTTATTTTGTATGCTGTATCTCATAGGTTTTAAAGACTGTCAATCCTGTATTTAGTTTACCTGGTTGCTCAAGGTAAAAATTGGTGAAGAATACTTTTATACAATTCAAGGTAAGAGAGACTATATCACTGTCCACCCCAGTGGTCACTTACTTGGTACTGTGTAAGGTAAGATAAGTCTGTATCGCTGTCCACCCCAGTGGTCACTTACTTGGTACTGTGTAAGGTAAGATAAGTCTGTATCGCTGTCTACCCCAGTGGTTTCTTACTTGGTACTGTGTAAGGTAAGATAAGTCTGTATCGCTGTCCACCCCAGTGGTCACTTACTTGGTACTGTGTAAGGTAAGATAAGTCTGAATTGCTGTCCACCCCAGTGGTCACTTACTTGGTACTGTGTAAGGTAAGATAAGTCGGTATCGCCGTCCACCCCAGTGGTCACTTACTTGGTACTGTGTAAGGTAAGATAAGTCTGAATTGCTGTCCACCCCAGTGGTCACTTACTTGGTACTGTGTAAGGTAAGATAAGTCTGAATTGCTGTCCACCCCAGTGGTCACTTACTTGGTACTGTGTAAGGTAAGATAAGTCTGTACCGCTGTCCACCCCAGTGGTCAAGCTGTTCATGCTGACATACGGATTTAATTCCGCTAGTCTCCCCTCACTTGCTGCGGCCCTAAAACAAACCAATTTGTGAAGTGAATGTCCCCTACTTCAACAGATGTTTCTGCCCATAACTTCATCCAAGGATCTTTGAAAATTAACTAAGCCTAAATTTTGGAAGAAATAATATTTCAAAACATCTCAGAATTATGAGTCTTTTTAAAATCATGTGCAAGTATTTAACATTTAAACATTCAAAATCTGATCATTTTTAGGAAAATTTCATCTGAAGACCAACAGCCAATCAGAACTGATGAACCACTTGTCCAAACTGTGCTATATATAACAAAGTTTCATATCAAATATTGGCCACATCTACTTTGAAATACATTGTGTATGTGTGCCTACCTGTTCCTTCCCTGTGCTACATCCTCCTCTGTGACGAAGAACTGGACTCCCAGATCAGCTACTGTGGCTGTTCGGTCATCCTGTATGGTCAATGACTGCGACCAAACACAAAATAAAGTTTTAGTCTAACACATTTGACATAATAAGGCTGCCTGCCCTGATCAGGTTGCCCCAAGGTGTTTTAAAATATAAATAAAATGCTTTTCATTAAATTTGCAGAAAAATATCTGGTCTGCTTTCATATTTTTTATCAGAATGATATACTGCTTGATTAATGAGAAGTCAATTGGGGAATGGTGTAAACTTTAAAGAGACAAGTCTTTGTGTCTATAATGCAGCGGGAAATCAGTCAAAATATTAGGTTTGCTGTTTGAGGAAAAATGTGTGTCTAAATAAAGGTGCTTCACTTGTCATTTACCCACACCCAGCTCCATATTATTGTGTCCAAAAATACAGTATTTAGTTTTATGTAAATGTATAGCATAACATATTTCTGCAGTGCCTTGTTTTCAGACATTTTTTTATCAAATTAGATTCCATCTCGGCAAGTATATTTACCTTTACTCCAGCCAATACGATATTCTTCGCTGAAACATAAAATACATGTACAAAAAATTATATAAAGGACCAATTTTAAACACAGAAAAACATTGTTTAGTTCTTTTTCTAAGACATCCAAGCTGACAGGTTTTAGTACAAGGCTTTTACTATTATTTTTTTGTAAATCTTTATTTATTTTCCAGATACTTTCTTTATCATGAACAAACACTTCATTTCATGTTAAAATATTCTTAAGTGGAATAAAATATTAATGGTAACCATTGTCCCAATAAGTAGTTAAAATTCTTAGAAATATTTGTATTTTGTTGATGTACTTAATATTGGATACTGGATGTATCTCGGATACTACATACCCATGGTTTTAAATTAATTCTGAATCTGTTGTGAATTGGACTTAACTAGGAAATAAATGTACTTACCAATTTCTATACCTAAACCTCCCATACCATAGACCAGTACAGAGGAATTAGCCATTCTCTTCATGGCACTGTCACCCAGCACATAACGCTGACGACTATGAATAGGGGAAAACAGAAAACAAGAATTAACAATAGTTTAGCTGACATATTTTCTTTCATTTTTACTGGGTTGATAACTGGTGTCATGTACATGTAACTATTTCGGTTAGAGCATCTGTATATATGTGTAGAGTTCAAACTTTGAAGGTTACAGTCAAAACAAAAAAATTATTGGATTCAGTTTACATACAAATTTGAAAGTACACAATCACAGGAGATGCTGATTATGGTTTTCAAATGTCATTGAATTCACTCTAAAAGTACAGGAGAAGTTGTGTGAACCAGTTTTTTATTATTGCATTAAACCGGCAATAAGCCCATGCTTGGTAATAATAAGCCCACCAATATATATTTCAATTAAAAAGAAATGCCAACAAAAGCGAATTAATTGTCCTGAATTAAGCCCATCCCCTACGTACTTTCAGTCAGACTCAGAGATGGTTTCATTTCAAATCAATTTTATTGCATTTAGGATTCTATTGGATTAGGCCCAGGCATTGTCTGTTAAAGCCCTTTCCAGGAATGGTGTGTTGCTCCCCGCTGGACTTATTGCGTGATAAATATATGGTATATAAAAGGAAAAATGAACTGCAGCTGGTAATTAACTTACCTGTACAATGAGTCATCTATTTCAACTTCTTCAGCCATACTGACTTTTCTCTGTCTACGTTCAGATCTTAAATATTACAGAAAATTTAACATTAATCCTATTTCAAAAGGATTACTGTGCCCACAGTGTCGGAAATGATGAAACAAATGCAGCTTGTTCTGAATCATATGACAAATGTTATTGCACCTAAATTAAATAAAAGCATTCATAATGTATCGCGTACAAACATGGCACTTAGTCAAGTAAGAAATCAAAGCGAATCAACTGAAATAAAGGTAAGAATATTTTCTCCAACAAACATGTAAAAGTCTCACAATCGCTGTCGCCAGACCGACGACAAATCCCCATGTTTATGGAGCAGTACTTAGCTGGCCATAAATAGACAACTTATCAGAATCTTTGATACTGCGATTATGGTCAGTTTTAATGGACTCATTCAACCACAATACATGCATGTGCGTTATTTTTATATAAACAGGTCCAGTACACTCTGCCGATTGAGCTATATAACTGTAAAGACCTATAATAGCTCTATTGACCTATCTGAAATAGGTCTTTTGAGCTATTTTCAAGTGATTTTCTTTTTTAAGGAAACGAATCAAAGTCACTTTAAAAAGAAGATTGAATCATTAGGTTGATAACAAAAGACATTAAATATAAGTATTCTTTTTAAAAAATAATGATGTAAAAAAATCGGAAATTTTACATTTATGAAAAATAAAAATAAACATCTACCTGTATGCTCTTTGTAGTCAACATTACCATAAACCTTATTGTTTTATGCGATTTTGCTCTAATTTAATGAAATTTGAAATCTGAGAAAATATAGCTCAATATAGCTATATACTATAGGTCTTTATAGCTATATCGCTCAATCGGCAGTGTACTGGACCTGATTAATATAACATGCAGGCTGGTACCCATCCAGCCACTAACCAGGCTCGACAATGGTGATTCCACATTGCTGGAAAAGCTAGCTTGCCAGTAAGGCAGTATTTCACTCTCATATTCATTGGCTGCTACATCCATATCTTTGGCCTTTTTAATAACTGAAATTGAGTCATCACTTCAACAAAGACACCATTGAAATGCAAAAATATCCCTGAACTCGAAGGTTGTTTACAACAAGTTCGTGTCATTTACTTGGTAACGAATAAGAGACTAGACCTGCTACAAGATACATTTAGTATAACAGTATACTCTCGCTACTGTACCCTCTCTACAACCAATGACAACACAAGTTTTTCCCAAGTCAGGGCGAGCTACAATGTCAACAGAGCTGAGGAAACGTCTTGTCTTTCTCGTTGTATGGGGAAATTTTAAGATATCACCTTCTGTGTTAAATGCATAACTACAGGAATTTCTTTCTATGTTAATTTTCTCCAAATGTACTTACTTATTCCTCTCACTGTTGGATTTCACCACACGATAACCGGAAATAGAAATTGTGTTTCACGATCCAATCAAAATTAGCCTTACAAAACATAATATAATAATAATATTAAGAACGGGAACGGACCCTTAATCCGGCCACACCAAAAATTGTAAATTATACAATGAGTTTTATTGTATATTAATTGTTTTATATTATAGAAGTATTCACCGCTATCCGACATACACAGAGAGAAATTTACGGCCGTTTGCCAAACTGACCATACACTGAATATTAGCAACAATAAAATTTCGCTTCTTTCGGTTGATGAACTGTACTGAGAGAAAAGTACTATTTTTTTCCGTTTTAGTTTCAAATTTCCGTAATGCAGGGGCGGATACAGGAATGTATTTGGGGTGTTGCCCAAACTTTAAAAAAAAATGGCTTAAATTGTTCGCTCTTAGGAATTGGCATAAATGCCCAATCCTCTTTTTTGTTATCATATCATGTAAGGATTAATATTTAATTAATATATGCTGCTGTTTATAAAGGCCCAATCCCATTGCTAATAATATCGGCAATAAAATATGTTTAAATTTAAACCAAACTTTTATAGGGGAGAACAGGGCAAATCGTAAAGTTGTCGGGGAAAACCTGACATCGCATGCTTTATGACGTCATAAGTATGCTGATTCAAACGTGGGCCGAACTCACTGCCTGTCCTAACTTGTCCCAAGGCAAGTCATCCAATCATCAAATGTGGGCATGTTAGCCATTTCCTAATTATTTTATGAAAGGCATGGATGCACCTAAGTTTCAACAAATACCATACAGCCCAGAACGACTTTAACGTAAATGGGCCAAACTTGCCCCGAAATCTTGAATGTTGTAATGTTTGTAGTGGCATGCACTGGAGAAACTTGTGTCTGATCCTTTTTTGATGAATGACAAACAAAATATGTTTAGATCAAAATGACACAGGAGTATTTCCAAGTCATAATTATAACGATTGCATGCACTGATACACTATGGCTTTATACGTCTCTGCATTACTTTTTTATGTCAATTTAACACCGTTTTAAGCGCTATATGCTTCTAAAGGCGTATCCTTGTAGAAATTAGTTCATCGGTCCAGCACCACTATAACAAAAAGGTAGGTTAAAACTTGGAAGGTTCACGGTGCCAATGGATGTTAAGACGTGACTTGAAAGAGTTAACACTAGGTGCGGATATCACGTGTACCGGTAAACTGTTCCATGTATCCTGTTCTTGGTTACATTTAACTTTGACCTTGATTTCAAAAGCTTTTTTGGTATGACCTCTGGTAGCTGTAATATATAAGGAACATTTTGAATAATTTGTCCTTGTCCGCAATATCAATATTATTAATAAATTTACATAGTTACCAAGGCGGCCGGGGTTCGATTTCCCGATCGGACGTGAAAAGGTATGGGTTCACCTGCCCGACAACGTGGGTTTTCCCCGGGTACTAAGGTTTCATAATAAGACCCCCCGCGCGCTAACATCCGGGCCAACAAGAGTGTTCATAATTGTTGCAAAATAATTTAAGTTTTTTTTTTTGACATCTGCTCGTTTTATCCGGTACTGAAGACTGGGTAATCCTAATGATTTAAAGCAATTTCCATATGACATTGGTTAATCCTTTAAACCTTTTGGTGGCTCTTCTCTGGACATTTTCAATCATTATTTGGTCTTTTGTTAATAATGGATTCCATATGCATGAAGCATAATCCAAATGAGGCCTAATGAGAGATTTATACAGACTTAGGGACATCTCCGTGTCGATGAAGGTGAATGATTTAAATATATGACCTGTTATACTGTTGGCTTTGGAAATGCATTTACATACATGTTGGCTGAACTTTAATTTGTTGTCGAATATGACGCCCAGATCTTTTTCAGATACAACTTTGGTAATGGACTCATTTTACCATGTAGCAGTGTGGTGTAATTATTTTCATTTTCCTTCGAGTACCCAACACACATTTGCTTGCATATTTTTGTATTCAACTGCATCTTCCAGTTCTCTGTCCATTTACAGATGTTTTACGTCATTCTGGAGCTCTTTAGTGGCATTGGCGGATTCTAAACCTTTTGTTGTCTTGGCATCATCATCAAACATTAGTAGCAAGGATTGTACAACTTCTGGCATGTCGTGGATGAATATTGAAAATAGTATCGGCCCGAGAACGCTCCCCTGGGGGACGCCGCTTGTGACGTCACGCGAGTTAGAGAATTCACCATTCACATAGAAACGTTGCCATGCCAGAGAGAAAATTTTGGATCCGGTCCAACACTTTCCCTTTTATGCCATATTTTTCTAATTTGAGAAGTAGCCGTTGGTGCGGGACTCTGTCGAACTCTTTGCTGAGGTCAAGATAAATAACGTCAACATTATTGCCTTTATCCAATTCTTCTGAAATGTAGTTGACTACCTCAATTAGCTGTCACACATGGTTTTCCTACGTCAGGTTAACAGTGCAATGAGACCATAACGTCGAAGTATATAATATATAAAAAAAAACACCTAACCAATCGCTAAGCTGATACCTGTCCTTTGAATATTACAAAGGGGCGACACCCGACTTCAAAGTCAATCAATTTGTTACGCAACCGCGAGATTATGTTGATGTACATCAAAATACAAGGTGGTGTTCACTGACCTTCAATTTTGCTATGACATATTCCAGGGGTGCAGAGAGCGTACGCGAGCCTAACCCCTGGACATCGAGGATGATAATATATAGGCCTATATTTACATATCCACTGCAAGTTCTCTGTAAGCATTAACATAAGAAATTACATTCATAGGGCTATGAACCAATTAGATCAGGGTAATTTCGAAGCTTATACTCCTGCCTCGAATAACATTAGACAACCCCAGAAGCAAACATTTTGATTACTACGTTAAGCTGTTCCAGGAATCTTGTTTGCACTGACGACATACACATTTCAGTATCGAAAATATAAGGGATTGGGCCTAGATCGGTATTAAGGGTAATAATAGGTAAAAAAATAGAATGTAAATATAAGGATTAAACAGCACATTTCCAATGTTCATGCCTAGCGGTCTTCATGATAAATATGTACATTGTAGACCTAACCGATTTGCGTTTGCCGGTCTGGATCTGGATACCAATACAGGCTTGATGAACCGGGAGAGAGAGAGCAGCGCGCACTACTTAGTCACTATGGAGGAGAGTCGATTCAAATTCCTCCAATCTATTAAGTGATACAATATTTTCCTCCAGGAGGTTCCAGTCAATCGCCGTTCATAAGGGCCTTTCACACCTAGCCGATGTGGGTCACCGGAGCGCAAATTTGGCGATTTTCGGGGATCGGTACTAGCACGGCAGCGCAACGGTATCACATCGCTAAGAACGGTAGTACAACGTCAAGACATCGTCAGAACATCGGCGAAAAAATTAACAACGGCAGGCGACAGTAGAAATGTTTGAACATGCTCAAACATTTCCGCCGTTGCGCTGCCGGAGTGAGCAACGGGACTACAACGGCAGTATATCGACAGTACTCCGGTATGGCTTCGTTAATGTCGGTAGAGCACCGGTAGCGTCCCGTTATGGAACAGCGGCTCTCCGGTGGCCTCAATGTGTAGCGTACTGGTACCAATGTGATACCGTAGTACTACCGAATACCACCGAAATAGCACTCATGAGCCGCCGATGTACTAACGATGTACTACCGCTATATAGCTCCGATCAACGGTTGCACATCGGTATAACACCGGCGGCTCATCGGAAACACTGAGGTGTCAGAAAGTGGTATTCGGTAGCACATCGGCTCTTACCTCGGTAGAACAACGGTAGAACAACGGGAACGCCGGTACTACATCGGTATTACTACGGTCAATTTTAATTTTTCAAGCGCTTTCTCGCCGGAGCACTGCCGATTTCCTCGCCGTTGTTAATTTATGCTCCGGTTTAGTCTCGACGAGGTACATCGGTATAGTGTGCGACAGGCCCTTTATGAAAAATGAATTCAGGAATTGGTCTGTTTTGGCACTTTGGACTTCAAAGCATTTAATATTGTTTTTGATTGAAGATTGTAATACGTTTCTTGGTGTAATGTAGTATTGGTAATGTTTTTGTATGATTAGTCTTCTGCTTCTTGCAGGTTTCGGGTAAGTATTTGGGTCGATAGCCGCAACCCAGCCGTTTGCGATCTTGAAAAGGAATGTTAAACTGATGATTTTCCTCCTGTTTTGAAGAGTGGGGAGGTCTAGCTCGTTTAACTACGGTAGTCTCCCTTTATGAAACGCGTAGCCTTCCTCTGTACTAGGTCAATTTTGATCAATATCCTTGGTAAGAAGTGGATCCGTGATATAAGTATGTAAGGTCATGGACCTCCTGCAGAATATGAATGTCCAGTGGGTAGAAACAGGACTACTTGGGTTTCACACGCATCGCAAAACACTTTTTTGCGTTAAAACGGATGTCCCAGGTTTTGGCCCATCGTTCAAGTTGTCGGAGATCGTCTTGTAGTTAACTCTATATATAATCAGACAATCGTCGGCAAAGAGCCTTACTTGTGATCTGACCACATCGGGCAAGTCTTTTATATGACACAGGAAGAGGACGGGTCCAAGAACTGTGCCTTGAGGGACTTTTGATATAACTGGCACAGACGATGACGATTCTCCTTCCACAACGACTTTCAGTCATCTGACGGGCACACAGAAACTTTGATAACCACAAGTGAAGTGGGCCTTGTATCCCATATTGATGTATTTTATGTAAAGGTTTCTTGTGCGGTACAGTGTCAAAAGCCTTAGAGAAATCCAAGGCTATGACGTCTACGTCTGTTCTTTGTCGAATGATGACATAAGGTCGTTCGAGGCAGCTAGAAGTTGGGTTTCACACGAGAAACCTTTTCTGAAACCGTGGTTGAGCGAGGTCAGGATCCTGTTGGACACCAAGTGGTCCAGAAAGTGTTTGCACACAATGTGCTCAAGTAGCTTGCACGGTACAGAAGTCAGTAACACCGGACGATAGTTTTCCGGAAGGTGTCTGTCGACCTTCTTGAACACTTGGCTGACATTCGCGCTCTTCCAATCTAATGGAAGAGTTCCAGAGTCAATGGATTTAAAAAAAAAAAAAAAACACCGTTAATCCTGGTGCGATAGCGTCTGCTGCTTGCTTCAGCACGATATTCGGGATGCCGTCGGGGCCTTCAGTGAGGCTCTCCACACGATATTCGGGATGCCGTCGGGCCTTCAGTGAGGCTTTCCACACATTTACCTCCTTCAAGAGGTTGTACACAACTTACTTTTCAAGTGGTTATTTTCAGGGACGTCAGCGGTGTAATGACGTTATGTTTAACCGGTTGTGTGGTGCACGTGGTATCTTCATCTTTAGTGAACACGGAGTACTGCTCTACTAAGAGACTAACCTTACTTATACTGTCGCTGACTAGGTTTCGACGCGTTTTTAGTGGGGCTACGCCGGCCTACATTGTCCTGCCGTTTAGACTTTATATAACCCCAAAAGGGTTTAGAGTTGTTTGACTGAAACCCTTCCTAAATAATATTATTCCCATAGTCCCATTCCGCTTTCCGGAAGCTCTTATATCACTCGCGTTGCTTCGCGTTGATGTATTCGGTAGAAACTGTAGTCACTGGTCTTCTTAGCCTTGCTATATATTTTGCTTTTCTTCCTAAGTATTCTTTTTATATTGTGGTTCAGCCAAGGTGGTGGTTGTTTTACCCTTAACAGACTTAGCGGGGACGTGACGGTCAATAGTATCCTGTATCGTCATCTTAAACTTAACCAATACCTAGGGTCTCTACATATCTACCCTTTCGCAGTCATTACACAGGCTACCAGATAAAGATGACAGTCCCTGGTTGATACAGAGACGTATATCCTACTATATGGCTGTATATGTCTCTGGTTGATACTATCCCAGTTTACCATGGTAAACTTGTAGATTTTTCTACACACATGGTTGGTTCTGTGTGGTTTCGTATCAAAATCCGTTACAATCATGGAGTGGTCTGATAATAATTATATTTATTCAGGTAAAAGGTAAATAATACACGAATATCACATTTTGTAGTTTGGACATAAATATAAGTTATTTATATTTATGCCATAAAACTAGTAATCAGTCAGGTGTTAAAACTGGATTGGATTAGATTAATTTAGGATAGTTACATAATTATATAGTTTATTGATAATTTAATAAGACTCTAAGAAAACTTCTTTTATTTTTTTGTATAAAAAAAAGTGTCTTAGATTCTTATCAAATTATCAATATACTATATAATTATGTAACTATTTTATGAATGGAATTGATTTATTTAGATCAAAGGGACACCATTGGATTTAAGCCACAATGATATATTTTATAAAAGAAGTGTCTTAGAGTCTTGTCAAATTATCAATATACTATATAATTATGTAACTATTTTATGAATGGAATTGATTTATTTAGATGTAAGGGACATTTGGATATACCTGTTATGGATGTCGAACTCTTTACTAAGAGTTCGATATATAAAGTAAATCCTTATATATGACAGGTTCAATAAAAGGGTAAAAGAAAACAAGTAAAAATTGGCTTGCTTAAGGTGAGATGGAGGATCTATTTTTTTTGCCGTATTTGTATGGGGGAAAATACCGCTTTATCACAACCACGGACTTACATAGATAACTAATCTAATTCCGTGTCACAACCTAGACCGTAGATCGTCTCAAATCTTTCATCTGTGCACGAAATTAGATTATGAGTCTGTAGATTCTATCCAAGTCCGTATATTGAGTCTGCAAGTCACCGATTGCCGTTATTCAGAACTGCAAGTAGGCAAATAAAAACATACGGATGAGGTAAACTTTCAAAATATAGCGGGGTTCCAATTAGCCAGTGCGCATGCATGCCTTGGGTTATTTCCCGTTTCACTTCCGTGTTGGTTTGTGTTATCGTACGTCTGTTGATGTTGCTTGGAATTATGTCGACGCCACGCCCCGCTCGACCCCCTCCTCCAGTGCCTAAACCCGGTAAGTCGTTCACATTTTCACCCTCCATATAAACAGTCGTTGACACAGCACAAGACAGAAATCACACTCCGTGAAGTACTTGCTGAGTTAGCGTCAAACGTTTCACTTCCGCGATGACAGTTCACTATGCTACGCCTGCCGGTGATAGATTTCCGTTTGTTTAGCGGTGACAAGCTTTCCACCAAGTTACTTCTGATTTAATCATGAAATGGTCCTCCCTCTCGCCGGGAGCATCCTTCCTATCATGCTTTAGTCCATAGAATTCCAGGAAACATTTTGAAACATTAAAATGTGTACACCCTGTTACATATATATATATATATATATATATAATCTTAATAAGTTTTGATTGGGGTAATCCCCATTACTTTCATGTGACGTCAATAATGTTGATCTGCAGCAAGGGATCTATCAGTGCAGATATATTTGTGTAATACGTATATATGCGGCAGATTTTAATTGTACATAGGATTTCGGTTGCCTTCTTAAGCTTCGAGCTAGAGAGAGTTTTCCTTTAGCTCAATGGTTGAGCGTCCGACTAGGAAGTCTTGGATCGCTGGTTCAAACCCTGGTGGAAGCACACCTTTTCACTTTCCTGTTACATAAGCATTGACTTTCATTTTGACAGCATACTTGCAATGTCCATGATAAGGTCTGGATGATCAGGTCAGACCAATAATTGGAGTGGAATGGTTTGTTAGTCTGGACGATCAGGTCAGACCAATAATTGGAGTGGAATGGTTTGTCTGGATGATCAGGTCAGACCAATAATTGGAGGGGGATGGTTTGTCTAGATGATCAGATCAGACCAATAATTGGAGTGGAATGGTTTGTTTGTCTGGATGATCAGGTCAGACCAATAATTGGAGTGGAATGGTTTGTCTGGACGATCAGGTCAGACCAATAATTGCAGTGGAATGGTTTGTCAGGATGATCAGGTCAGACCATTAATTGGAGGGGATGGTTTATCTAGATGATCAGGTCAGACTAATAATTTGAGGGGGATGGTTTGTCTGGGCGGTCAGGTCAGGCCAATAATTGGAGGGGGATGGTTTGTCAGGACGATCAGGTCAGACCAATAATTGGAGGGGATGGTTTGTCTAGATGATCAGATCAGACCATTCAATGGGAGGGGAATAATTTTACCGGATGACCAAGTGATGATGTTTTGACCGACTTAACAGATATCCATGGTCTGTCTGGACAGTCAAGTGGCTGTAGTCTGACTGACTGGTCATCGTTATTGATGGTAATTAACAATACAATTTAAGTTATTATTTTCTGAAAATTTCAATTGACCAATGTTATGCGAATATTTATATACACTTTTATCACCTTTTAATTGTGTAATTATAACCTTGTGTTTTTATTTTACTTACAGGTAGTGTTAAAGTTGTGAGGGCATTATATCATTATGTTGCGCAGAACGTAAGTTTTAATCTTATTGAATACTATCTAATACACCTAGGGTCGGACCTGAAGACACTCACCTGTTTTAAGTGGCCTTTCTTTAACAAGTTCCTACAGTTTTTACAGATCTGATATCTGTGATCCTGAATATATTCAAGGTCATTAAATCTGTTCTCAAACTCGGTCAATGCCAGCAATTTTAGCTATTGATTACTACATGTATTAAATAATGATTTTCAATGGTATTCAGAAAAAGCTCATTGAGTGTTTTAACAGATTTGACCCGGGGGACCTTAAATATCAGTTTAAGCTATTTCTTTCCCAAATTTTGTAGCATTCCATATTAGTAGGGTCCTGGCCACCTATCAGAACTACAGGCCTTCTGGTTCTTCAGAAGAACTTATTTGAGTGTTTTAACAGATTTTATTCTAGCGGCCTTGAATATATAATATCATAGGTAAAGATGGTTTTTTTTTATTTCAAATGTTGTAGCTCTCAATTGCTAACTAGCCACTGACAATATATCATGGCCTCTAGCTTGGATCTTAAAAAACCCACGGTTTGAGTGTTTTAGCAAATTTGACTCCTGTGTTATCTTGAAAAAGGACAAGGTCATTTCCTTTTCAATCTTTATGTAGCACTTATAGAGCCAAGCTACTGGCCTTACATAATGTCAGACTAGAAAGCAATATTGGTGTAGGTCATTTCCTTTTCCCAAACTTTGAATCGTTCCATGCCAGAAAGCTACTGGGCATCTATCATTGTTCTAGGCGTTTAGATCTTTAGAAAAAGCATCTTGAGTGTTTTGATCCCTTTGCCCTTGAATATAGCTCAAGATCATTTCTTTATTAAAACTTTGTAGCAATCATTGTCAGCAAGCCATAGGGGTATATCATGGATATGTCTTATGATGTTTTAGAAGATAATGATTGAGTGTTTTAACATATTTGACCCATGTAGACTTGAACATTAGTCATGATATTTCTTGAATCCAGGCCATTCTGTTCTCCAGAAGAGGGTGTTTGAGTGTTTTAGAAGATTTGTCCCCCTATCAAATCTGTTCAATTAATTTCTTTTCTTTGTACTTTGTAGTACATCTGCTTAGGGTGGTACTCAATAGATATCCAAATCATCTGACAGCTGGTTGGTTACAAGTATTTATTTTAGAAACATCAAATGCTGCCATTTTATGCTTTTTGGGGCTCCACAAAGGGGCTTGCCCATCATGTTTGCAAATCTGAATCATCATCACCCAGGGATACATCCTACCAAATTAGGTTGTAATTGGCCTTGTGAGCTTTGGGAAGAAGTGGGTCGACACGGCCAGTGCTCAAGGTATCTAGGTAACCAATTCAGTCCAACAGTTGTGTAGACACCAAATTCCTCAGTTGTCTCGAAAACCAGTCCCACAGTTGTCTTGCTACACATTTCCACAGTTGTCTTGGTACACATTCCCACAGTTGTCTAGACACCCAGTCCCACAGTTGTCTTGGTACACATTCCCACAGTTGTCTTGGTACACATTCCCACAGTTGTCTAGACACCCAGTCCCACAGTTGTCTAGACACCCAGTCCCACAGCTGTCTTGGTACACATTCCCACAGTTGTCTTGGTACACATTGCCACAGTTGTCTAGACACCCAGTCCCACAGTTGTCTAGACACCCAATCCCACAGTTGTCTTGGTACGCATTCCCACAGTTGTCTCGACAACCACTCCCACAGTTGTCTTGGTACGCATTCCCACAGTTGTCTAGACACGCAGTCCCACAGTTGTCTAGACACCCAGTCCCACAGTTGACTTGGTATGCATTCCCAAAGTTGTCTAGACACCCAGTCCCACAGTTGTCTTGGTACGTATTCCCCCAGTTGTCTAGACACCCAGTCCCACAGTTGTCTCGACACCCACTCCCACAGGTGTCTAGACACACAGCCCCACAGTTGACTTGGTACGCATTCCCACAGTTGTCTAGACACCCAGTCTCACAGTTGTCTAGACACCCAGTCCCACAGTTGTCTAGACACCCATTCCCACAGTTGTCTCGACACCCAGTCCCACAGTTGTCTAGACACACAGCCCCACAGTTGACTTGGTACGCATTCCCACAGTTGTCTCGACAACCACTCCCACAGTTGTCTTGGTACGCATTCCCACAGTTGTCTAGACACCCTGTCCCACTGTTGTCTAGACACGCAGTCACACAATTGTTTAGACACCCAGTCCCACAGTTGTCTTGGTACGCATTCCCACAGTTGTCTAGACACCCAGTCCTACATGTACAGTTGTCTAGAAATTCAGTATCACAGTTGTCTAGACACCAAGTCACGCAGTTTTCTAGACACGCAGTCATGCAGATGTCTAGACACCCAGTCTCACAGTTGTCTTGATACCCAGCCCCACAGTTGTCTGTAGGGAATAGGTCCCAATGTTGCAATGTTGGGCTGTGTATAAATGATTTGTATGGTTGATTAATAATGTGTAAGGGCCTGTGTGCATGACCATTGTTTTTTATGTCAGTCAGATGAGCTGTCTTTTGATGAAGGAGACACGCTGTACATCACAGACACATCAAATGCTGCCTGGTGGAAAGGCCGGTGTAACAACAAAACAGGGCTCATGCCATATAATTACGCTAAGGCTACACACAGACTGATGGAAAGGACGGTGTTCGTGACAACAAAACAGGGCTCATACCATATAATTACGGTAAGTCTACACACAGACGTTGTCTAGACACGCAGTCATGCAGGTGGCTAGACACCCAGTCACGCAGTTGTCTAGACACGAAGTCACACAGGTGTCTAGACACCCAGTCGCCCAGTTGTATAGACACCAAGTCACACAGGCGTCTAGACACCCAGTCCTACATGTACAGTTGTCTAGACATTCAGTATCACAGTTGTCTTGATACCCAGTCCCACAGTTGTCTTGATACCCAGTCCCACAGTTGTCTGTAGGGAATAGGTCCCAATGTTGCAATGTTGGGCTGTGTATAAATGATTTGTATGGTTGATTAATAATGTGTAAGGGCCTGTGTGCATGACCATTGTTTTTTATGTCAGTCAGATGAGCTGTCTTTTGATGAAGGAGACACGCTGTACATCACAGACACATCAAATGCTGCCTGGTGGAAAGGCCGGTGTAACAACAAAACAGGGCTCATACCATATAATTACGGTAAGGCTACACACAGACTGATGGAACAGAAGGTGTGACAACCAAACAGGGCTCATACCATATAATTACGGTAAGTCTACACACAGACTTGTGGAAAGAACGGTGTGACAACAAAACAGGGCTCATACCATATAATTACGGTAAGTCTACATACAGACTGATGGAAAGGACGGTGTGACAACAAAACAGGGCTCATACCATGTAATTACGGTAAGTCTACGCACAGACTTGCGGAAAGAACGGTGTGACAACAAAACAGGGCTCATACCATACAATTACGGTAAGTCTACACACAGACTTGGGGAAAGGACGGTGTGACAACAAAACAGGGCTCATACCATATAATTACGGTAAGGCTACACACAGACTGGTGGAAATGACAGTTTGACAACAAAACAGGGCTCATACCATATAGTTACGGTAAGGCTACACACAGACAGGTAGAAAGGACGGTGTGACAACAAAACAGGGCTCATACCATATAATTACGGTAAGGCTACACACAGACTGATGGAAAGGACGGTGTTTGTGACAGCAAAACAGGGCTCATACCATATAATTACGGTAAGTCTACACACAGACTTCGGGAAAGGACGGTGTGACAACCAAACAGGGCTCATACCATACAATTACGGTAAGTCTACACACAGACTTCGGGAAAGAACGGTGTGACAACAAAACAGGGCTCATACCATATAATTATGGTAAGTCTTGTTGTTCATTGTATCGAGACCAACCTGAAAGTACTCTAAATATAGATAAACCCTTACCTATTGTAAATGTATTTATTTATAACATCTCATTTGGTTAGAACATCTGTTTAGAGTTTCGAGGTCCAGGGTTGAATCCCAGTCTGATTGCTGCATGTGATTCTTTTCTGTTGAATTTGACGCCAAATTGAATATACCAACAGAATGTGGTATAGGGTCTTGTGTGTCTTTGGGCTCAACAAATTTGTTAAAGGAGGAATATGTAGTGGAACTGGATCGGGTCTGACCATTGCATTTTTTTTTATTCCTGTTACAATGATGTACATACATATATCTGTGTGTGTGATAACATGTTCTGATGTTTGTTACAGTGGAAGACAAGTTAGAGTCTATAGATTATCCATTACACGACGCAGCCAAGAGAGGCAATATTACTTTCCTGGAGGAATGTTTAACAAATAAAGTAAGTATATGAAAATGAATGTCAGATTCCTTTACAAAGATTTCTTGCAAATATTTGTGAAAACAAAATTTTCTCAGGCTGACTTGGAAGTTAAAAAATACTGATATTTTGAGTCCAACCCTTTTTAGCCCACCATGATCTGATGGTGGGCTATTCAAATCACCCTTCGTCTGTGGTCCGTCCATCATCCGTCGTCCGTCCTTAATTCTTGTTATCGCTATTTCTCAGAAGGTATAGGAGGGACCTTTCTCAAATATTGTGTGTATGTTCCCCTTGATCTGTTGTTGTGCATCCTTACTTTTGAGGCTGATCGGATAAACAAAATGGCCGACTGGTGGCCATCTTTAATTTTAACAGTGAATGTTTGTTATCGCTATTTCTCAGGAATGTTTGGAAGGGTCTTTCTCAAATTTGATAAGAAGGTTTCCCTTGGTCTGTAGTTGTGCATGTTTACTGTTGAGACTGATCAGATAAACAAAATGGGCGACAGGCGGCCATCTTGGATTTTGACAGTGAATGTTTGCTATCGCTATTTCTCATGAAGTTCTGGAGAGATCTTTTTTCAAATTTGATATGTAGGTTCCCCTGGATCTGTAGTTGTGCATGTTTACTTTGAAGAGTGATCATAAAGACAAGATGGCCACAGGAAGTACTTATATGAGATTTTTCTGATACTGTAATGATTCGATGATCTATTTCTCTTACATTTAAAGAACTGTCCTTTTTTTCTTTTTTTTTTTACAAATATTTTATTCCCCCCAGCCATTTTTTTCATAAATATGTATATACATATACTGCTTCGAAGCAGATATATATATACATATATAAATATTTTGATAGGGGATGCCAGGGTTGGGGAGCCCTGGAGTCAGCCCCTGAACAATATGGTGTCCTCACGCAGGAGGGTTCTCATTCAACAATGAAGAACTGTACTAGTAAATATGTGAAATGGTGCATTTACTGTTTACATGACTTGATCAAACAGATAGAGAAAAGAAGAGAAAGAACAAAGTGACGTCACAAAAACTAATGAAGATGGTACAATGGTGGGCGTCAGGATCCCTCTGGGATCTCTTGTTTGATAAACAAATTCAAATGCAATTACTTGTAGACATATGTTGGCCTGTAGGGGTAGGATATAGTGGTGTAGACATATGTTGGCCTGTAGGGGTAGGATATAGTGGTGTAGACATATGTTGGCCTGTAGGGGTAGGATATAGTGGTGTAGACATATGTTGGCCTGTAGGGGTAGGATATAGTGGTGTAGACATATGTTGGCCTGTAGGGGTAGGATATAGTGGTGTAGACATATGTTGGCCTGTAGGGGTAGGATATAGTGGTGTAGACATATGTTGGCCTGTAGGGGTAGGATATAGTGGTGTAGACATATGTTGGCCTGTAGGGGTAGGATATAGTGGTGTAGACATATGTTGGCCTGTAGGGGTAGGATATAGTGGTGTAGACATATGTTGGCCTGTAGGGGTAGGATATAGTGGTGTAGACATATGTTGGCCTGTAGGGGTAGGATATAGTGGTGTAGACATATGTTGGCCTGTAGGGGTAGGATATAGTGGTGTAGACATATGTTGGCCTGTAGGGGTAGGATATAGTGGTGTAGACATATGTTGGCCTGTAGGGGTAGGATATAGTGGTGTAGACATATGTTGGCCTGTAGGGGTAGGATATAGTGGTGTAGACATATGTTGGCCTGTAGGGGTAGGATATAGTGGTGTAGACATATGTTGGCCTGTAGGGGTAGGATATAGTGGTGTAGACATATGTTGGCCTGTAGGGGTAGGATATAGTGGTGTAGACATATGTTGGCCTGTAGGGGTAGGATATAGTGGTGTAGACATATGTTGGCCTGTAGGGGTAGGATATAGTGGTGTAGACATATGTTGGCCTGTAGGGGTAGGATATAGTGGTGTAGACATATGTTGGCCTGTAGGGGTAGGATATAGTGGTGTAGACATATGTTGGCCTGTAGGGGTAGGATATAGTGGTGTAGACATATGTTGGCCTGTAGGGGTAGGATATAGTGGTGTAGACATATGTTGGCCTGTAGGGGTAGGATATAGTGGTGTAGACATATGTTGGCCTGTAGGGGTAGGATATAGTGGTGTAGACATATGTTGGCCTGTAGGGGTAGGATATAGTGGTGTAGACATATGTTGGCCTGTAGGGGTAGGATATAGTGGTGTAGACATATGTTGGCCTGTAGGGGTAGGATATAGTGGTGTAGACATATGTTGGCCTGTAGGGGTAGGATATAGTGGTGTAGACATATGTTGGCCTGTAGGGGTAGGATATAGTGGTGTAGACATATGTTGGCCTGTAGGGGTAGGATATAGTGGTGTAGACATATGTTGGCCTGTAGGGGTAGGATATAGTGGTGTAGACATATGTTGGCCTGTAGGGGTAGGATATAGTGGTGTAGACATATGTTGGCCTGTAGGGGTAGGATATAGTGGTGTAGACATATGTTGGCCTGTAGGGGTAGGATATAGTGGTGTAGACATATGTTGGCCTGTAGGGGTAGGATATAGTGGTGTAGACATATGTTGGCCTGTAGGGGTAGGATATAGTGGTGTAGACATATGTTGGCCTGTAGGGGTAGGATATAGTGGTGTAGACATATGTTGGCCTGTAGGGGTAGGATATAGTGGTGTAGACATATGTTGGCCTGTAGGGGTAGGATATAGTGGTGTAGACATATGTTGGCCTGTAGGGGTAGGATATAGTGGTGTAGACATATGTTGGCCTGTAGGGGTAGGATATAGTGGTGTAGACATATGTTGGCCTGTAGGGGTAGGATATAGTGGTGTAGACATATGTTGGCCTGTAGGGGTAGGATATAGTGGTGTAGACATATGTTGGCCTGTAGGGGTAGGATATAGTGGTGTAGACATATGTTGGCCTGTAGGGGTAGGATATAGTGGTGTAGACATATGTTGGCCTGTAGGGGTAGGATATAGTGGTGTAGACATATGTTGGCCTGTAGGGGTAGGATATAGTGGTGTAGACATATGTTGGCCTGTAGGGGTAGGATATAGTGGTGTAGACATATGTTGGCCTGTAGGGGTAGGATATAGTGGTGTAGACATATGTTGGCCTGTAGGGGTAGGATATAGTGGTGTAGACATATGTTGGCCTGTAGGGGTAGGATATAGTGGTGTAGACATATGTTGGCCTGTAGGGGTAGGATATAGTGGTGTAGACATATGTTGGCCTGTAGGGGTAGGATATAGTGGTGTAGACATATGTTGGCCTGTAGGGGTAGGATATAGTGGTGTAGACATATGTTGGCCTGTAGGGGTAGGATATAGTGGTGTAGACATATGTTGGCCTGTAGGGGTAGGATATAGTGGTGTAGACATATGTTGGCCTGTAGGGGTAGGATATAGTGGTGTAGACATATGTTGGCCTGTAGGGGTAGGATATAGTGGTGTAGACATATGTTGGCCTGTAGGGGTAGGATATAGTGGTGTAGACATATGTTGGCCTGTAGGGGTAGGATATAGTGGTGTAGACATATGTTGGCCTGTAGGGGTAGGATATAGTGGTGTAGACATATGTTGGCCTGTAGGGGTAGGATATAGTGGTGTAGACATATGTTGGCCTGTAGGGGTAGGATATAGTGGTGTAGACATATGTTGGCCTGTAGGGGTAGGATATAGTGGTGTAGACATATGTTGGCCTGTAGGGGTAGGATATAGTGGTGTAGACATATGTTGGCCTGTAGGGGTAGGATATAGTGGTGTAGACATATGTTGGCCTGTAGGGGTAGGATATAGTGGTGTAGACATATGTTGGCCTGTAGGGGTAGGATATAGTGGTGTAGACATATGTTGGCCTGTAGGGGTAGGATATAGTGGTGTAGACATATGTTGGCCTGTAGGGGTAGGATATAGTGGTGTAGACATATGTTGGCCTGTAGGGGTAGGATATAGTGGTGTAGACATATGTTGGCCTGTAGGGGTAGGATATAGTGGTGTAGACATATGTTGGCCTGTAGGGGTAGGATATAGTGGTGTAGACATATGTTGGCCTGTAGGGGTAGGATATAGTGGTGTAGACATATGTTGGCCTGTAGGGGTAGGATATAGTGGTGTAGACATATGTTGGCCTGTAGGGGTAGGATATAGTGGTGTAGACATATGTTGGCCTGTAGGGGTAGGATATAGTGGTGTAGACATATGTTGGCCTGTAGGGGTAGGATATAGTGGTGTAGACATATGTTGGCCTGTAGGGGTAGGATATAGTGGTGTAGACATATGTTGGCCTGTAGGGGTAGGATATAGTGGTGTAGACATATGTTGGCCTGTAGGGGTAGGATATAGTGGTGTAGACATATGTTGGCCTGTAGGGGTAGGATATAGTGGTGTAGACATATGTTGGCCTGTAGGGGTAGGATATAGTGGTGTAGACATATGTTGGCCTGTAGGGGTAGGATATAGTGGTGTAGACATATGTTGGCCTGTAGGGGTAGGATATAGTGGTGTAGACATATGTTGGCCTGTAGGGGTAGGATATAGTGGTGTAGACATATGTTGGCCTGTAGGGGTAGGATATAGTGGTGTAGACATATGTTGGCCTGTAGGGGTAGGATATAGTGGTGTAGACATATGTTGGCCTGTAGGGGTAGGATATAGTGGTGTAGACATATGTTGGCCTGTAGGGGTAGGATATAGTGGTGTAGACATATGTTGGCCTGTAGGGGTAGGATATAGTGGTGTAGACATATGTTGGCCTGTAGGGGTAGGATATAGTGGTGTAGACATATGTTGGCCTGTAGGGGTAGGATATAGTGGTGTAGACATATGTTGGCCTGTAGGGGTAGGATATAGTGGTGTAGACATATGTTGGCCTGTAGGGGTAGGATATAGTGGTGTAGACATATGTTGGCCTGTAGGGGTAGGATATAGTGGTGTAGACATATGTTGGCCTGTAGGGGTAGGATATAGTGGTGTAGACATATGTTGGCCTGTAGGGGTAGGATATAGTGGTGTAGACATATGTTGGCCTGTAGGGGTAGGATATAGTGGTGTAGACATATGTTGGCCTGTAGGGGTAGGATATAGTGGTGTAGACATATGTTGGCCTGTAGGGGTAGGATATAGTGGTGTAGACATATGTTGGCCTGTAGGGGTAGGATATAGTGGTGTAGACATATGTTGGCCTGTAGGGGTAGGATATAGTGGTGTAGACATATGTTGGCCTGTAGGGGTAGGATATAGTGGTGTAGACATATGTTGGCCTGTAGGGGTAGGATATAGTGGTGTAGACATATGTTGGCCTGTAGGGGTAGGATATAGTGGTGTAGACATATGTTGGCCTGTAGGGGTAGGATATAGTGGTGTAGACATATGTTGGCCTGTAGGGGTAGGATATAGTGGTGTAGACATATGTTGGCCTGTAGGGGTAGGATATAGTGGTGTAGACATATGTTGGCCTGTAGGGGTAGGATATAGTGGTGTAGACATATGTTGGCCTGTAGGGGTAGGATATAGTGGTGTAGACATATGTTGGCCTGTAGGGGTAGGATATAGTGGTGTAGACATATGTTGGCCTGTAGGGGTAGGATATAGTGGTGTAGACATATGTTGGCCTGTAGGGGTAGGATATAGTGGTGTAGACATATGTTGGCCTGTAGGGGTAGGATATAGTGGTGTAGACATATGTTGGCCTGTAGGGGTAGGATATAGTGGTGTAGACATATGTTGGCCTGTAGGGGTAGGATATAGTGGTGTAGACATATGTTGGCCTGTAGGGGTAGGATATAGTGGTGTAGACATATGTTGGCCTGTAGGGGTAGGATATAGTGGTGTAGACATATGTTGGCCTGTAGGGGTAGGATATAGTGGTGTAGACATATGTTGGCCTGTAGGGGTAGGATATAGTGGTAAGGTGTGGTTTGTATTTGGTTGTGGATTGTAATAAATGAATGACCATCAAGCTATAATCCCATTAATGTCTTGTGTTACCGGTATTATTTGAATTTAATTGATTTATTTTCGGACGAATATAATGAGGGAGAATATAACACAATTTATGTAATTGGTGCTGAAACACTGATAACGGGGTACCTATGTGTTATTGTTACTTGAATACTATCATGTTTATATTAAAAATATTCATGAAAATGAAGTGATTATTAGTAGTACTTAGCACAGACATTTGATCGGCAAAAGTTTATAAACTTAATGCTTTTGAATATCTCAAATTATAATGTGTCTCTTAAATGCAGGTGTAACAAATTTCTAAGGGTATGCTTCAATAGAATGGATTCCTTTATTGCAGAATATGTTTATATGCTTTTGTTATCTGTTTGTGAAGGTATCGGTTAATGGTCTAGACAAGGCCGGATCAACACCTCTGCATTGGGCAGCTCGCGGAGGTCACATGGATTGTCTGGAGAGGCTTCTTCAAAGTGGCAAGTGTGAAGTGAATGCACAGGTAATTTGTGATTTGTCAGCCATATAAGGTCAGTCAGGTGTAGCAATGTTTGTATGAAATAAAACATATGCTAAGGGATGTACCATTCACTGATAGTAAATCTGTATGTAATGTAATATACCATACGCTGATGGTTAATCTGTATGTAATGTAACATACACTGATGGTAAATCTGTATGTAATATAACATACGCTGATGGTTAATCTGTATGTAATGTAACATACACTGATGGTAAATCTGTATGTAATAATACATACACTGATGGTAAATCTGTATGTAATATAACATACACTGATGGTTAATCTGTATGCAATGTGATCATGATGTTACATACTTTGCTCATCTGACAAGCCTGGTAATGTTTGCTGTAATGTGTCTGATGAGACCACTACTTACAGTAGTAATGTAAAAGTGTGCTATACTTTACTGATCAGTCTTTGTCAAAGTGAAGATATTTTGATAACTCCATCTCTATACGTCTTTTAATGTGGTGTATTCGTTCCAGAACAAACTTGGGGATACAGCTTTACACTCAGCTGCCTGGAAGGGACATGCACAAGCAGTCAAAATGTTATTAGAGAAAGGTAAGTTTCAAGGTCGAATCATTACTTAGGAAACTAGGTAAATCTCAAGGTCAAACTGTTATTGGAGAAATGTAAGTTTCAAGGTCAAACTGGTTTTTTTGAGAAAGGTAAATCTAAAGGTCAAATTGTTACTACAGAAAAAATAAATAAGTCTCAAGGTCAAACCGTTATTTTGGAGAAATTTTCATCTCAAGGACAAAATGTCACTACACAGAAACTAGATGAATCTCAAGGTCAAACTGTTACTTGAGAAAGGTAAAATCTATAGGTCAAATTGTTACTACAGAAAATAGGTTAGTCTCAAGGTCAAATTGTTATTTTGGAGAAATTTTAACCTCAAGGTCAAACTGTCACTACAGAAACTAGACTAATCTCAAGGCCAAACTGTTATTAGAGAAAGGTAAGTCATAAGATCAACTGTTATAACAGAAGCTAGGACAATTTCAATGTCAAACGATTATTACAGAAACTAGGAAAATCTCAAGGTCAAATAGTTTTTACAGGAGGGTAAATCTCAAGGTCAAACTGTTACTACAGAAACTAGGTAAATCTCAATGTCAAACTGTCAGTGCAGAAAGTAAAAACCTGTGCTAGGAATCCTTGACCCAGAGTAGAAGTCTTAAATAGTACAACAAGTTTAATATCATTGTATTTCCTTGTTTTGCCAGTATCTATTTAACTACAGAAATATTTTATGTGGTTTGGAGGTATGCCAAGGGCTGTGTGACAATTTCAGAGTCGTTGACACATGGAAAACGAGAGGGAAATGAAAGTGGGAAATATAGAAAGAGATTGTCAGACAGGGAGAGGCTTGAGAAACAGAAACTTTGTGCAAAAAGTTGAATTTCTTGGACAAGTGATTTCTCGGTTTGGACGAGTACTTTTTGCCATGACTTTGCCCGCCGGACAGGTTGTTTTAAAAAACTTTCCGGAGCCCTGATGCCCTATTTTTATAGTCAATGGAAAAGTAATAAAATATCTTATTTTAGATGAAGACATTTGTCATCGTAAAAATAGATGTGAGTGAGTTTATTAAGTGGTTCTCATTGCTCTAGTATTTAACACTTGGATGAACATTGAAAGGTCATGAAAACTGTGTTTTTATGTCTATGTATTGTTTGATGTAGGTGCTCGAACTGATGTGAAAAATAATGACGACAAAGTTCCTTATGACCTCTCTAAAGACGCGGCATGTTCAGCAGCAATCAGACAAGCAGGTGACTATTTACAAATATTTCATGGAAAATCTAAACCTGTCATTTTATTGCCTTTTAACACTGCAACTAATCTTAATCAAAAAAGTTTTTTGTTATTTAATTGAAACCAGAGAAAGAAGATTTTGTTTCCTTTATGAGAACCATGACTTCATATTTGTGTATCATACAAATATCATGACTTCATGCCAATGTATCATACAAAACATCACTTTTGAAAATGTGGAAAAGAAAGAAAAAGCAAATGTTCAAGATAGGTAGTTAAGATGTCTTTTTAAAAGAAAATTTGTTTTAAACTGGAATATTTCACTTTTCTGTGCTATTTTTCAGCCATGCCTCGTACGTTATCAGCTGACTATGGAGAGGAGGGAGACTCCGATTGAGTATCTGGAGTGTGTCACATAGACTTTCACCATAAATATCCACCAATGGGGCCAAAACGAAATGACGTTCTCACTCCAGTGAAGGGAAAAACTCATTGGAAATGTTGTGACAGTTTACCACAGAACTTAAACATCTTATAAATAGGAGACAACCATTCATATTATACTATGTTTATGTATGATATTTGATGCTGTGATAGATGTATTAAAGAGTTATTATAGGACCGTATTTGCCAGCCGTACTGAAGTGCGTAATGTACCACAACAATTTATCTTACCTTCGTGACATATCAATCTACTTACCCTACTTGTATTAAATAAAAGGCCTTCTCATTGTGCTTATAAGCGATTCTTTTCTAATCAACTTGAGCAAATCTTTTGAAAAAAATGTTGTTTTTGTTTATGTACCACAGTCAATTATTTCTTTACCAGTTTTGTGATCAAACATAGTATTAGAGGTTCAGAATTATTTGAGCAAGGGGATGAATCTCGGGATTTTAGAACTTATTTGATTATTGCTGTTTAATTAGAGTCATTACAAAGATTTATCCTTACACTGATAAACTTCCTCACGTTAAGAGGCGTGCAGATCTTTTTTCTTGTTTCTTCAGATGATATGAGTTATATTATTATATATTATACTCAGATATTTTTCTCATACCTTGTGTAAGATCTGAAACCTGGGTCACCGTAACATGTGACCCACTGCATTCACCATTTATCTGTCATCAAACACTGAGTGTCCTCTTTCCATAAATAATTCATATTTTTCTTCCTTCACTGCCAGAAATTGATGTGCAGGACGAAAAGGTGTCAAGATGGACTAAAATTTCAGCAATTTTCTTTTCATGACTTACATTGCTCCCGTGTCAGTCGTGTTCCCTCGGAGAGGGCTGGGTAATGTTTTTATCAATAAAGTATAACTTTTTCGGAATATTTTGTTTTCATTGGGAAATAATTTGAACTTGAATAATTATTATAGGATGACAGTTTGATAAGTTAAGACCCTGACCTCCTACCTAAGCGCTTGGAGCAGGGTCCAAATAGAGGAAATGATCTGAAATTCAATCTTCACTCCCTAAAGTCATTTTGTCCCAAATAAACAGTTGCCATTTAACATTTCATAAACTAGGATATCTTGCCTTCTATACATAATTATTTAAATGACACAACACAAAACCAAACCCAGGTGACTGTTATGGTCCATCAGTTACTCGTTCTTATACATGTACCTTGTCATATTGACAAACCCAGATCTTTTTCTCATACCTTTTGATAGTGTAAGATGTACTGTTTCAGTAAGCTACTAATTGTTATTTCAATGCATGTCATAAATCTAGATTTTAAATTGTATAATTCAAAGATAAATTACACAACCAGGTAGGGTTATTTTTAGCTATGTCTAGATTTCATCTTGGGGCATTTATCTGTAATCTCCCATTTGAATTTTCTTTCCATGTATTAAGATATTGACCTGGCCAATCAGGAGGTCGGCAGTATTTATTAACGTATAACAGTATTTTTTATTGTACATTACATTGTATCTGTTGGAATAGCCATTTACCATACAACATACTTTGTACCCACACTGTATGGTGTATTTCATTGTGCTTTATAATACAGGTGCATTTTACAAGTGAAGTCTATTATGCCGAGTTGCCTGATCTGTCTAATCGTCCGTGTTAGGAACTGTTCGTTACCAAGTTATTAATATGTAAACATTACCACAACATATCAGAGAGTGCCTTCAGTTGTAACTGTTTACTTACACATATATAGCAGGTACATCGTACAGGTGTATTGAACAGGTACATCGTACAGGTGTATTGAACAGGTACACTGTACAGGTGTATTGAACAGGTACACTGTACAGGTGTATTGAACAGGTACACCACACCGTACAGGTGTATTGAACAGATACACCACACCACACCGTACAGGTGTATTGAAGATACACCACACCGTACAGGTGCATTGAACAGGTACACCGTACAGGTGTATTGAACAGGTACACCGTACAGGTGTATTGAACAGGTACATCGTACAGGTGTATTGAACAGATACATCATACATCTCATTACTTATCACCTATGACACAGTGCTGTCCCTTGGTCAGTGCTTCTTTATGTATGTTAACTTTAAAAAAACATTACTAAATATTATTTTGAAATAAAATCTATATATATTTGTAGAAAAGTAAAGTTTAGTATAATTACCTACTTTCATATGCAATATTTTGCTTGTTAAAAATTAAAGACTTTATACAATTATATGCTTTAAATGCATTTTGTAAACGTTATTTGAAGCGAAATATAGCAGCAGAACTATTTAATGTGCAACTATTTACATTATTTGTATTCTTACCAGAATAAAGATTGTGAACTAAATATTCATCAATTTAGAATATAAACCTTGAAAAAGTCTTTGCAGTTGGAAGCAATATTTTTAATAATTATAAGTAGGTGTTAATTGAGAATTTTGCTGATCATATCCAGACAAGGCTCCAACACCAGCAAGAGGTGGGCTTAATACTTATCATAAAGCACATTTTTGTAGCACTATATAGTGATACAGGTAAATTATAGTAGTGCTAATTAGTGTCACAGGTAAATTATTGTAAAATTATTTGAAAGAGTGATGACCATTGAAAGCCATGCCCATATAGGAGTTGAGTTGAGTGACACAGGTAAATTACGAAAGTGCTATATAGTGACACAGGTAAATTATGGTAGCACTATGTAGTGACACAGGTAAATTACGATAGTGCTATATAGTGACACAGGTAATTCATGGTAGCACTTTTTGAGGACACTGATAATAAACCTATTTTATAAGTCATATGTAAAATGGGTTTTCCTCGCTTGTTTATTTGCATTATAATATACATTAAATTCTTGATAACTTTAATATATTACTACTGTACTTAAGTCTTGTAAAATATTTGACATATGATGAATCAAAATTAAATGAATTATTTATGACCTGTCTTTAGTTATTGCTGTTTTCAATGAAAAATGTATAAATTCACCAAATACATTCTTATGCAGACTAGTACTTCTTCATGAAGGAAGAGTCTGATGAAACTTTAATCTCATCTTTCCTTTGGAGGGGGTGGGGGGACTGCCATTGGAATTCTTTGTCAGCCCCCCTCATCTTATGATATGTCTGGTTCACTAGATATCTTTTGCATCTTCCTAAAGTCACTCAATGCTGATAAACAGGAGGGGTTGACCAAACAAACGTAGTGATGCTTGTTCTGACCTGGTGCTACACTTGTCCCACATCAGTGGTCTGGTTATATTTATTTTACCACAGCTCCTTCAGCTATTCACATTGATATATTTTGACCAATTTCTGAAAACCATAGTAACAAATTTAGTCCGTTATTTAGAGATGGAGAGGTCAGTCAATATCCGAAATCCTGACGAACTGATGTGTGCAATAGCAAACTACGTATTTCCTGGGAGGCATTAGTGATTCAACAAAAGACGTCAAACAATCGGCAGTGAAACCCTATCAGAGAGACTGCTGCTGGAAAGTGATGCCCCTAACAGTCTCTTGTTGGCAATCACTGCAACACCTCACAGCAGTAGTGGATGTCACGGGAATTGTGGCCTCTTTGAAGAATACTCCAATCTGTGTGCTGAGCTCACTTTGGCAGTTGCTGTAAGTACAGTAACATACCAGAGTAATTATTGTGCCAACCAAAGAAACATTTTTATTAGATCCTGGTAAGCCTAATAATTTCATCCCTTAAAAAATATTGGGAGGGATATGGCTTTCAGGTGCACCCATCGGCTGTAGTGCTTGTCCGGATGATAACTTGAGAATGAAAAATCAAACAGAGTCTAGACTTGGTGTGTGGGTTGCCCTAGTGAATACAAATTACCGTTTTGATTATGGGCATGGTCTGTCAGAGGTCAAGGTTACCATTGCTAAAAATAGAAATCTGCCTGGTTGTCCTTGTCAAGATGATAACTTTACAAATGTTCATAAAAAGGTCAAATTTGGTGTATGGGTTGCCCTAGAGGACACACCCTTTTGATTTTAGACATGGACACCAGAGATCAAGGTCACCATTGCGAAGAATGGAATACTGCTTGGTTGCTCTTGTCGAGTTGATATTTTGAGAAAAAATGATCAAATGCAGCTCAAACTTGGTGTGCTCTAGTGATTCCAAATAAGCCTATTTATTTTTAGGGTGAGCAGTCAAAGGTCAAGGTCCCCATTGCTTATAATAGAATTTTGCTTCTCCAACTGATAACTTGAAAACTTGTCATACAAAGTTCAAAACTTTGTGTATGGGTAGCCCTAGTATATATACTCCACTGGTCTTTAGTGTTACTTGTAAATCGATGCCTTGCATTTCCTATGCAGAGAATGGGTAGCATGTCCACACAGAATTATTGTAAAACAGATTGTATAGAATTATGTACATCTTTCTTGCTATTCTCGAACACAAATCCAGTACGGGTCAATAGCTAATCCTGCACATGACTTTCTCAGGGATATGCTCTCTCATTTAATCTTCTTTTCTCCTATTTGTTGGGCTGATAGTCAGGGCAATATTAAATGCATCATGTGGTTACTTTTGATCAAAAGTTCATACGGTTGTGTTTGAAACTGTCATAGTGTGTAATGAAGAGGTGTCTTATTTCTGACATCCATCTTCAAAATGAACTATGTAAAACTTTGGAAAAAAATAAACTATACTTAGGAAATTTGAGAAAGATTTGCATTAGATTCTAATTTCTGAGAAACGGCCATAAAAAACTTCAGAGGTCATATTCAAAACGTTTCTGCCTTGTGGTCGCCTTTCTTCACTTCATGCTAAAAGTGAAACATGTACATGTACACTGAAGAATCACGAGGAGCTTCGATAGAAACATCATACAAGATCCCTACAGCACAACCTGAGAAATAGAAATAACAAACTTTAACCGACATTCCAAGATGGCCATCTGGTTCTTGCAATCGTTCCATAACAGAATCTTTGAACTCCATGTTGACCCGTTGACCCATTATGGGGGACAATGTAGACATTTGAACTTGACGTAAACATATATATCATTCTGATTATAGAGTGCACATAGATTTGCTGATAGTGCTATTACACTGCTGTTACATGTAGTGTCATTCAGAAAATATGAAAAAAAAAAACAACTTAAAACACCTTTTGTCATATTTTATTTATAAATTTCTGATAAAATTTGTGTTTTATCATAAGCTTTCTTTACAGGACATCAATGGTACATATCATAGTAAATAATGATATACAATTGAAATAATCAAACGTTTGGTGACATGACCTGACTTAGATATGGTTGACATATAGTTAAACAATGACGCCTAGCACATATCAGGGGAGACAACTACCGTCACAGCCTACTCAGTCAGAAATGTTTATGTGGTTAAAACGGTTCAATAACCATTAAACGAAATTTTTCAGGGGCTAAACTCAAAAGAAGTGTCTCTCCTAAAGTATCCAATAAGATCAACAGATATTTTTCTTGAAGAGCAATTTTCTTAGAAAGTAGGTCTATTCTGAGTTTTTCTGTTAACACGTGAACAGACTAAGATCAAGAAGAACTGAAAATTTATGATGAACATCTTTTGATTGTTTTTAGTCCATCTTTTCACAAGGAGATGGTGATAATTGAGAACATGCAGCTAAATTGATTTCATAATAGTTTTAAAGTTTGAACCTTCATGCCTGAATCTGTTCAACACACATAAACATTAGCCAACATATTTCTGACATCTACAAAAAATAATGGAATATATTAAATAACAAAATGGGCAAACAACAAGGAAATACAACTATAAAATAACAATTTGATAGTGAATTCATAGCAAATATACTGCCATTACACTATCTATATAACAAGAAATTGGCAAACCTTTGTGTAGCAGCACTGGACTGGGTCGCTGATTGGCGACCAGGCAGCATGATCAATTGGCAGAGCGTCCTTCTAGATAGGAGAGTCTGGGGTTCGAATCCCAGTTTGACCGGGCACTTATCTTGTTACAGTGATGCCATGACCAGGGTTCAAACCTGGGACCCTCCAAACTCTTAATGGACCCTCTTAAAGTTGAGCTACCTTGTCACTGCCGATTGACCCAGTCCAGTTCTGCTACATTGATTTGTATAGACCATATCGAGTATGGTATTACAGTCCATATCCGCTATTGTATTTAACAATTGTTTATAAATTATAAACATCACTAACAACACCAAAAGGTTCCTTTTATTCTCAAGAAAATTCCACACTGCTGGGCATAATATATTGCAAAAAGTTGTGTTCAGTAAGTTTTAAAAAAGCTAGTGTTAGGTTGTGAAGGTTTAATTAACAAAGTGCTGCCTAGATAACAAGGTCTGAGGACTAGGACCTGTTACCATGGAGATGTCCCAAAGGTACAAAAACCATGTTTTAAGAAATACTGCTGATAATTGATGTACTTAACCTTCAATTTCTTTAAAAAATAAATCTTGATGAATAACACAAGTTCCTTCTTAAAAATTTAATACAAACAACCTGTGCATGAAAATAATTTCACAAAAGTGACTGTCCTAGATCTCAAACAGTAGCCAGGTATCTAGTGGTGGTATCGATAGACATACTACCAGGTATCTAGTGGTGGTATCGATAGACATACTACCAGGTATCTAGTGGTGGTATCGATAGACATACTACCAGGTATCTAGTGGTGGTATCGATAGACATACTACCAGATTATCAAAATGAAGTTACTGGCATTTGTCAAAAGTGCATATTTTCCTCAGCAGTATTGATAGCCTTGTAGAAACTTAACTATCAAACGGCGCTCAAATCCTTACACTGATCTGTGATATGTTGGGAATACAGTAATTTTCCTTTGACTTTGATCACAAATATAGATTCAATTTCATATGAATTTGATTTAACAAGTCAAGAAGTTTTCATCAAAACTTTCAAAATGACTTTCATAAATCTCTATGGCATTGGTTTATCTCATTCTAAAGAAAAAAAGTTCTCAATCGTCCATGTTACCATTCTAACTTCATGTCTTACTGTTCTTGTTCTGAGGTACATTGGGAGATTACATATGGAAATACATATCACATTACCGCATGGGTGTTTTTACTGCATAACAAGGAAACCTGTGATTAATTATTATAGTCATCAATGTAAACTCAATAGTTACACAGAAGAATGGATAAAATAAAATCGCCCAACATGTAGAGATTTGGCAATTCAAGATTTTGTTTTAAATTTCCAGTTTTCATGCTTTTCAATTTCTTTTGATTGAGACTGGAAAGGACTCCTTTAACCCTTTCACCACTGAAGACCATAATGGCCCGTCCATATCAATGCATGGTAGAGTCTACTCAAGTTACATAGGGGGAAAGGGTTAAGGAATCTTTCCTCACAACATTTACATACTGATAATTAAATATGTGTCCTTATATTAACCCATCGGCAATAATTAAATATGTGTCCTTATAGAAACCCATCAGCAAAAATAATATAAATATTTACCTACTGTAACTAAAATAGCAGTTATGACTTTTGAAGTAATACAAATAATGCAAGAACCGATTGAAACATGTGTATTAGAATTACTTCATTTTCACCTGTAATGTGGTAATTTGACAGTAAATCACAGCGATACTGTACAATTACTGACTCCATATCTGGTTGATATTAAGATTTATTAACCTGGTAATATAAAAATATGATATATAATTATATATTTATTGAAGTTTTTAACTGTTCACTGTAGATAGCATGAAGTATTTGAATAAATAAATATGACACAACAATAATCAATTTACAGACTTATATATCATAAAACAGAACACAAGTCACTGAAACACGTTTTTAAACAATTATTCTAAAGTAATAATGTATACTCTTATAATTAATCAAAACCTAGTATAGAGTTTGTCAGAGAAGCTGTGAAGTTGGAGTAAACTGTAAATAATGTTTTACACAAAATATCCTACATACTGCCTCCTATGTACGAACTTACACAGCCTCTGAACAACTGACAAGTAACTAGAGGGAGGGATGGGGTACGTTCTGCACAGAGATCTTGTATGGGAGAGAGATTTGTATGTATGGGGAAGTGAGTGGGAAAAGTTTGTTGTGTGGGAAAGATTTAGTTTGGTAGGTGTTTTGTGTGGGAGAGAAATTGAGGTCACTTTCACATATCCTGGTTGAAACGGTTCAGGTGGCACAGAAATATTCTACGATAAACGAACGCACTTTGATCGAACTTTAGGCAGAGCTAAAAAATGCAGTTTCCGAGAATAAATAACAAAATATCAAGAATAACATATCCTTCTTTCAAGCATCCACTAAATTATATAACATATCTTAAAATTTACCTGTGGATTGACCTTGTCTTATAAATAAATAATTTAGTTTCGGTCAGGCACGTCTGGACCCCTCAATCTACACATGCCGAATATTCCCGAGGTCAGCCTAGGTTCAGATCTGCGCTTGTTGTTTTCTTTCAGGTTCAACTCTGCGCTTGTTGTTTTCTTTCAGGTTCAACTGTTTCAAACCGTTTCAAATAGTTGAACCGGATACGTGAAAGGGGCCTTAACGTGTGGGTACAGATATAGATGTAAGAGGTATCTACTGTATATGTGTGTGATGAAGAGTCTTCACATGGAGCAAGATTTACGTGTATGGAGATGTTTTGTTATATTTGTTCTGTGGGACAGTATATTTGTTCTGTGGGACAGTGTATTTGTTCTGTGGGACAGTGTATTTGTCCTTTGGGACATTTATAAAAGTAAGCTACAGCAGAAGGTTAATCAGCTGTCTCCAAAATATATAATCGAAAATTGAAACTTTCAAAATGGGCCTGATTTATCAGGTATTAAGACAAGATATTTGTTAGTGTAAGCCATAAACATGTACCTTCATTCCATTTAAGATGGGGGTGGGATATCAAAACATTCTTTGTCAAATAATTGATAATTTAATGGTGCCTTAACACTTAAAAGAGTTTCGTAGGCCTTACAATACTGCAGGGACATTTGTGTCAAGTTTAAGTCAAATACTGAGGCTGATCAAATGAGAAGGTAGACAATGTTTCTGTCAATTAGAGTCCAAAGCCTCCATCATTGAGAACACATAAATTAAGACACCTGTAAACCGAATTTGGAGTCAATCACTGCAGCCGTTCAGGGGAAGTAAACACTTTCTTACTCTGCAAGATATCTGGCAGCCATCTAAAATTTTTGGATTTTCAAAAATGAACATTTTGTGGGGACCTCATATATCTATTTGTAACAAGGTGCCAGGGCAGCCATCTTGGATTTTTTGATTGGCACATATAGTAATGACCTCATCATACAGAACGTTTGTACTACGTAAGCTTGAAGTAAATTGCGGCAGCTGTTCTTGAAAAGGAAGTCAAAATGTTTCAGCCAATCAGAGACAAGGACAACCATCAGTGGTTTTTAGGAAGTGGAAAATGTACAATTGTCAATAGTTGATGCACAATACAAGACAGCAGATGAGGACAGATGCAACAATAGCTCACATGATCAGTCATGTGACTAAATGTGACTAATAAATAATTTCCATGCATGGAAAATAATATTTTTCATATGTACATGTATTCTAAACAAAGTTAAGAAACTAGGTGGAATGATGACGTAAACGCTCAATGAAACAAAACAATGCAGCGTTGCCCTATAGTGTGGCGCGACTACTGTCCACGGTGTGTTGTGGTGAGGCGACCCTATAATAGCGTGTCTGGGTGAGGTTTAGAACGTCCTCATAACAATACTATATATGTAGGCATATAAATCAACAAATCAAAACCAATTTAAAACATATATAAATACAATTCAATGAGTATATAATCTACATCTGATATAAACCTGTTAACAATATAATATAAATGATATGACTATGTATGACAACGATCAGCAGGTGTGCCCATTACTTTGTACAGTCAACATTTGTACAAATTGTGCTCATTATAAACAGTATCGGATAACTGATTATTGTTCTATAAATAGTATCATGTAAACCCATAGGCTTTTGGTAGGTAGTGGGAGAGGTGGGAAGGAGGATGGAGGAGTGGAGAAGTGGGAAGGAGGATGGAGGAGTGGAGAGGTGGGAAGGAGGATGGAGGAGTGGAGAGGTCACAGAATACAGGAAGTGAGGGGAAGTAAAAATATTGACAAATTATCATACTCATTACTAAACCTCTTACATTGCCTGAAGAAATAGTGAAATTTGAATCAATGATAAAAATTAAAATTGAAAACAAAATATACTAAAGCTAGAACTGTAAACCACAGGTTTTCTGAGTATTAATCTTGACATCATGAAGACCTACTTAGAATGAAGAAGACTTTAAGATTGGCATAACTCCGAAAAAAATGCTGTATTGAAGAGAGAAGGCCAGGTACAAACACTGTTTGAAGAATTATTCATGAAAGATTGGGCTAAAAATGTGCTGTTCCATAACTTCAGGGCTTGGTGTTCATATCAGACTTTCAGAAAATTTGGATGACAACAGTGTATGGTTATCTGAACATGATCCAGCTAATATCATAAAATCATAAATTATGCATAACTCCCATAAAAATAGCTTAATAAAAAAAAGTTTGCTTAGGTGCCCCTGAATATTTCTTGTCATACAGTGTCATCTGGCCCAGCTGAATCTCTGGTCTCCAATTATGTGTGTTTTCACTCTGAACCAGGTACATTGACAAAATATGGATATTTTGTAATCGATCACTTGTCCAAAAGTTTTTCACCAAACTTAATTACGACACAGTGGTTACTTTCTGTGTGATCATCATCTGATGAGAATATTGGAGATTTTTCATCCAAGGCTTGCCAAGTGCTCAAAATGTTGAATTCATAAACTAATAGGACAAATTATGATCACATGTCACAAATGACATGATCTGTTTCTCATAAAACCTTTAAAGCAAACATGAAAGAAAATGCAATGTGACTTCCACAAACTTCTTAAAATGGCAGCTTTTTAACATCAGTTATAATTAAGTTGGGTAATAATGTAATGTCATCATTCAAGTAAATAGTGTACATGTGCAACTATTTTTGGTGCAGCTAGCAAATGATTTCCTGCAATTTGATTGGCTGTTGCAAGTCTGTATGAGATCACAAATATCACACACCCTCAAGAGTTGATAACCATAGGGTCACTGTCTATTACTGTGTAAGGTATGGTACGTATACACTACCCACAGGCTATTTACTGTCTATAGCCCTTCCATTTAATGATTTCATACAAAACACTGTAGCCTTAAATTACACAAATCACACTGGGCTGTGATTTTTCAACGATACAATAAATGTTAGTCACAAGGATATATCAACAGATGGATTTTGTACATCATGGTTTATATGATACAGTACAGTCCGTTCACTGAATTCAGTTTCACAGTTCTTAGAGTGTGACCTAAATAGCCAAACACTGTCACAATTCTTAGAGTGTGAACTAAATAGCCAACCACTGTCACAATTCTTAACTGATCTTACCCAGCTTGCCTCACTCCAGAAAACTAAACAATAAAATGAATTTAAAATTAATCTTGTATATACATGCTTTTTATGTAAATAAGTTATACAACACATCCCTCACTTACTCTTATGCATGATGTTATTCATATTTGTGCACTTTTATCTTCAGTAAGATTCCCCAATTTGCAAATATCAAAGTTTTAATTTAAACACCAACAAAGTATATATCAAACATGTTGCAATGTTTCAAGGCCAACTAGTTCCTTTGTCAAGCTGTATGCTGTAACATGTTTCAAGCGTATATTGATTGTGTATAAGGTGAAACGTTGATATTACATTTGTGATCTTGTTCTAAATAGAGAGCATATCAGGTGAGACATGTTTGGAGTCTTTGAAGACAAATAAAAATGAGGCACTACTTGTAAAAATAGATTGGGTGTTTCCTTCACGATTGCAAAAACAGAGAAACCAGATTAGTCAGTACGCAATACAGACTGCAGAGGATATGTTCATACACAATATTATAATCCTATTTCACATTTCTGTATATTGGAGTAATTGATACAATTAAAAAATAGTATGTTACAGTAATCAAACAACATTGTCAGATGTTTTACGAATCGCATGCTTGTCAGGACAATGCTGGGTCGCAAAACTTAGGTAGGAACATTCCATATTTGTTTATTGTGAGAATCAAATAAATATTAAAAGAATGTGCCATCTTATAAGAGAACAAAGTTAATTAATATTCAATCCAAAGTGCATTACTCTTTTGTAAACAAAAACTATTATTTCGTTATTATTTTAAAAGTGCAGTAAAATATCACAAAGGACATTTTTAGGGAAGAAATATCGGTATATTTCGCCCCAGTCAAACTTTCGCCCTTCTACCCATAAACACAATTATTGCCCAGCGTAAATTTGACACATCACATTTAATTACTATGTATACTATGGTGTTAACAAACGTTTGCTGTAACGATAAATTCACCCTCGTTACGGAGCAAGTTGATATAATTCTCGTTAACACTGTTCAAGATGCTGCTCTTAGTCTTTGTTACCTACTGGCCCAGATACAAGTGAAACAGGCGAGACCACTACCAGAGTCTCAGATACAAGTGAAACAGGCGAGACCACGACCAGAGTCCCAGATACAAGTGAAACAGGCGAGACCACTACCAGAGTCTCAGATACAAGTGAAACAGGCGAGACCACTACCAGAGTCTCTAACTACAGGTAATATGTATGAACAAAGGATTGCGACGATAATATCAGCTCCTGGGTAAATATACAGATGTTAGTCAATCCTCAAACAAATTTCAATGGGATCAATAAATTTTCATGATGAAAGTTCAGATCCTTTACTTTCAGGAAGAGAAATTTTCATAATTTTCATAGATTTATCATTCAAAAAAACTGAAAGGACGATATTGAAAATTCCAGTGTCTTTAAAACTACTCTATTTGAACTAGTTCAAAATTTACATCCTGTTCAGTTTAAAATTATCAATTGTACATCAGAATCAGTCTTGAGGATATTTTTATTTTCAAATTGTGTTAAGTATCTACCGTAAATGTAATCATAAAACTAATGTTATTCATCAATTAAACAGCTCTGTTGACAAAACATGGCAGACATTTATTCTTATTTTGAAACACACTTCCCATGATGCTTTCCGGATTCTGAATAAACCCTGATATCAAAATGAAAACCAAATGTCTTTTGTTTTGTCTTTTAATACAATAAGGTAAAAATTGTTTGATTGTAGTAGAGGATGCCCTGTAACTTACAATATTAGGCCAGGACTACTAACCTTGTTTATCGTGGTTGATGATCTGAGACAATATGGTGATATGAACCTGGTGGTGAGCACTGACTAGACATAACAGGTATTATCAAAAGGATTGCAGTGTTGAGATAGACATGATGGAGGTGGATAAACTTGGGTGGAATTTTTACAATGAATTTGGCAAGTGAAGGAGCATGTTATACCAGCTAAAAAAGTTACCCAAAGATATATTGCCTAGAAATACTTAATTATGCACAAATGTCAATCTTTACTTTATGAATTTATGAATTTAACCACTGGAATAAAACAATTTGAATGGAAACTAAGACAGAAATACAGTAAGTTAGAAAATGTACGATAATTAACAGTAGGGCTTACAATCAGTGGTAAGTATGGGTCAAACAGATATAGATTAAAACTATAATCTGTTTAAAATAAAACAAATAATAATATCACCATCATCACGACTAAACTCTGAGACTATTTGACATCACCAAATTGACTTGGCAATGTGAATTGTTCTTATGTATTTGTTCTTAATGACTATCAAGTCTGATAGAAAATAGAGAAATCAAAAATGTGTTGTACAAACTGAAATGTCTGAAAACCTTGTTTTTCCTCAAATTAAATAAAAGGCTTATCTTAACTCTGTCCTGCTATTAAGTACAATACATTTAACATGAGAACACCTTGTACACAATAATGCTGTAACATTTCCCACAGTGCCTCAGTCTGTGACTTCTACAGAGGTCATATGTAGCATTCGATGAACTCTAGGTACAAAGGTCCCTACATAGCACTCATATTCTCTCGTTTCTGTAAAACATCTCTAAGACTTCAGCACCAGTTCAAACAAATCTGCACTTCACAATAATACTTCTGATTTGTGCTCATGCCACAGTGCAGGTTCGCAGCAAATGGAAGAATCGTTTTGATTGGTAGGCCTGCGACCTTACTTATCTAGGAACTGACCACAGGTTAGAAGACTGGTTTGACTTGGTTAGTTCATTGGCAAGTTGTCCACTTAATGCGGTGGCCCCTAACTAAGAGGTTTGGTCAGGGAAGGGCAGTCTATCCACCCTATAGGTCCGTCACCTTGTTCACATAAGTCTCGGGAACACCTTTGGTCCGTCACCTCGTTCACAAGTCTCGGGAACACCTTTGGTCCGTCACCTCGTTCACAAGTCTCGGGAACACCTTTGGTCCGTCACCTTGTTCACAAGTCTCGGGAACACCTTTGGTCCGTCCACAATATACACAGCTTATCTCTCTGTAAACAAGAACATTCCTCAATTTCAGTCATTTTTCTGACTTTTTACACATGAAAAAACTGATGCTCAGACCAAGTCACTTTAATCTTTTGTGATATTATATCCGTCTACCTTCAAATGAGCTATACACATTAAATACCTGTATCTTTTAGTGTAAATTCAATTTTCCTTTTTTTGTTCAGTTACATTTATATCCATCTGTCTGTAACATAAATATATGTATCATTATTGGTAAGATCTCCTTAATTTGGAGAGACACTCGCAATGTTTTATCCTCATTTTTTACTTTTGAAATTTAACAGCAGAATTCCCAAAATCCCACTTTTTGCTTTCAAATATAATGAATTCATTACATGAAACAGCTCAGACTTTGGTATATTACGCTTCTATAATAGGGGTCACCACAGATACCATTTCCCACAATGTTTTCAAGGATCTGTAACAAAACAGTTGAAGTGAAAGGAGAGTACCAACTAACCTTTCATCACTTCCATAACCGGTTAATATTTCACTCTTAATCACTGGAACAGAGATAATGTAGAAATATTAGTAACACAGCATACATAGAAGACATTTTTTTTTATACTTTTTAAGTAATTTACGAAAAAGTATATGCATCAACTGAACTGCGGAAATTAGTAGTGCCATATGCGTAATATAGATTGTCTATTCAATGTAATTCTGATATTTTCTGGTTATGCAAATACCATACCGTAGAAATGGTGTATCAAAACAATCATTCTACCATCCCTTAATCTACCTGCCCAATTGCTAAAATACAATCATGCTGCCGATGGTTTGGACATTTCTAATATCATTACCAAGATGAAACTATACCTAACAGACCTTGATTCATCAACCCATAACAACACTATTGTATGCACAATACATTTGAACAGAAGAACAACATTACCCGTAAAAGAGGTTTCGGTAGATGTGAACCTCACAGACTAATGATTATAAACCTTGAGAATGCATTCAATACTTAACAGAATGGACGTCACACAACATTTTGTTGCCAGCCTCAGAAAACAACGTGCACAGACTGTACTGTACCAACCCTCTATACAACGTGCACAGAATGTACTGTACCAACCCTCTATATAACTTGATGTTCTTATCACTGATGCCATAGTATTACCCTACAGAACTCACTGATGCCACAGGATTACCCTACAGAACTCACTGATGCAGTAGAACCTTTTCTTCTTCCGGGCTTATCCTAATTATCGAACACTCTAGAACTGCTCACACGCTTATTGACTTCTACTCTATTTACAACAGTTCTGACAATTTAATCATGCTTAATATTCTTTCTATTACAATTCCTATTCCTTAAGAGCCAGAACAACAACCTTAGAGTTTTGATTGTTCGAGCACTTTTGATACCTTTAATTTCATGTTTACTATCCCTTATTTCTGTTCCTTTAATCATCTCTTGCATTGGAAATACTGTTATACTACAATTCATTCGTTCACATTTACTATGATATTTTTATATAATCTATAATCACACTGAAATTATTTAGCACTTATTCTATTATGCACCAAACAAATTGCTAAACCTTGTCACCCTACCGGACTGTAACTCTTAGCAACTTGATGACGTCACAGTTATTCTTTATTGTTCTAGTCACATGACCTTTATTGTCATTGTACCATAGTTGCAAACATCATGTAACTGTGCTCTTAAGACGGCCTCCCTTTGGCCGAAACATGTCAGTACTTAGGATGTAAATCAAACATTACATTTTGTACCAGATTCAGTGGTGTTGTTGCTCATCATTTCTATTTTCATTTGCTCTGCTTTCCCCGATGAGCACTGTTGAATACCATTAAGGAATCCACCCCAGGATCCCTACCGCCACTATGGAACTGACTTCCTTTCAGGGACGTTGAGTCTCTACCCCCCTGTTGTTACATCCCTTAATCTGTACAATTATTAATAATCATTGCAATGAAAAGAAAGTACCATTCTGTTAAGTTAATAAATACTAAACATGATATCTTCCATTCCACTGCAGTGAAAATGTAAGTGTTTTATCAAACTGATAATTTCCCATATTTTACTGATCAAAATGTAACAAATAGTTAAGAAGGCAATGGGTTCTGTCCCTCTGGCCGTGACATACTAAAGTCCTCAACAATGGTAGTTGTTATTCCCTGCTTAACGTTCAACATTTAGGGTAATGGCAACAAATGTTTCACCTGTTGTCAGTATGTGACCCGGTGGAATGCTGTGCTGGGTGCTTCGGCATGGTATTTCGGTGAGGTAGCACTTAAAAGTTGGCATCAGATATGCACTATCTCCAAGGAGGCATAAACATCAAGTGCACATACACACAAGCAAGCATATATTAACTCATTCACCCCTGTAATTTCATTATGGACTATTCCAAACTTTGTATTGGAAGAGTTCAAATGTAGCTTCAGGGGTGAACTAGAACTGTAAGCCAAAGGCTAACTAATACCCCCGCTCCCATATAAACAAGAACTGTAAGCTAAAGGCTTACTAATGCAAAGCAATATAATCTCCCACCAGTAATGAGTTAATCACTATTTTATTAAAAACAAAAAACAAAAGTAACTAAAACATAAACAAGTATTTCGCACAAAGGGGCATAACTCCATCAAAAAGGGTCAAAATCCCAAATTAAAATGCCAGTGCCCAACACCATAAGATATTGATCATTCATGAAAAGTTTCAATGAAATCCACCTGTTAGTTAAGGAGGAGTTGCACGGATAACTATTTCGCACAAAGTGGCATAATTCCATCAAAAAGGGTTGAAATCCCAAATTGAAATGCCGGTGCACAATAACATAAGATACCGTTCATTCATGCAAAGTTTCAATGAAATCCACCTGTTAGTTTAATAAGGAGGAGTTCTACGGACAAGTTACTGTGGACGACATCCAGACATCCAGAAAGGGTGATTCCAGTATACCCCGCCCCTTACTTCGTTAAGGGGGTATAATGAGTTAAACACATAGATGCATATCCTTAAATGACCTTAGTTTCGTGATACTTACCAGGTAAACCAGCTGATACAGCCTATATAGCAGACATCGCCTCCTTTAAAACAAATCAATCAATGATCAAATAGAATTATCACACAACATAGAATACTTTAATGACAAGAAATAATAGAAAGTGATTCTAAAAATATGGCAGGTTACATCATTTATTGAATTATTGATCAGAAATCGGAGAAGTGGTCTTTTAACACAGGTTAACTTTTTGTTAAAGTCTATTGCATCCTGTGTTCATGCTTAATATGTTCCTTGTTATTTTGCTGCTATAAAATTCATGTAAATGCCCTCAATATTTGAGAGCAAATATGTATTTATTATTGCCATCACGTCATTGTCATGTTTAAATGAGTGTAAAGCACAAATAAAAGGCATTGTTGCCTATTGCAAATTAAATAAAGGTTAAATTAACAAAGAAATTACTACAAAGGGAAATATTAAAAGTGGCCTGTTAACACAGGTTAAATTAACAAGAAATCACTACAAAGGGAAATATTAAAAGGCCTCTTAACACAGATGGTCTCTTAATAGAGGTCTCTTAACACAGGTGGTCTCTTAACACATGTGGTTGTGTAAGCATGTTAGACTGTACCTGGTAATACATGTAGTTCAATTTGGTATTCAAAGAAAACTCAACTCTTACCAGTGTGTTAAGAGTCGTGAATTTGGTAATCAATTGAAATTCAGAAGACGGCCAAAAGAAAGTTTATCGAAGAATGAGAGAATAATATACCACACCTTGTAATACATGTATCTGACTTGTACTTACCTCTTTCTCCCATTCCCTCTCTTCATATATCTTATCAAAACAATCCTTCATATATACATACTGAAACAGGAAACAGAAATCAGAATCACACTCAACTGAAGGGTCTTTCATGTCATAATTATAAAATATTGTAGTAGTTGACACAGAATTTTAAGTCTGGGTAGGTAGGGGAAAACGTTTTTTTGAATTTTACTTGTTAGAATAAATCTTAAATTTGTTGCCTGTNTCTATTTGGTAGCTTTCCAGTAGAAATAGATTTGTTGAATAAGAGAGAGTGGTTTCACAAGCCTGTTTTGATATTGGTAATGTTTACTGCCATATGTAACCAATATTTTAGTTAAAGCAGGGATACTAAAACAATGTAACAAGACAACCTACTTATATTTAGGAACTGAAAGTCAATGAAATGATACTCATAATTCAAAATTTCAATAAACTATTTGGAGTAGGGAATTGTTTCACCCTGGATGGCCTTGCTTAGGCATTTATTCAATATTCTAAAAGGAATTACTGTACATACTTTAATTGTGTAGGGTAAAAATTTCAAACAACTGCAATATTGAGTCTATAAACTTAATTATAACTAGACATTAGAAGGGCAACAAATTCATTCGATCTACGTTCTGATCCTGTACTGACAATGACACAAATCTAGTATAGCTTCAAAAACAGCAGATAATTAGTCGCTAATATCATCTTTATACATGTATTACATAACCTTGCTAATCCTATTTCAAGTCTTTCTGTAATGTATATTACTTTCAAGTTCTGTATCACAAATTATTTTCAGTTAATTTCAAAGAACGATTTTCAGAAAGGACTGTCTTCATGTTAAATGTTTGTTAATTAAGTGAACAGACAACATTACTCAATAATCTACAGAGTTCGGCCTACAGGGCAGCATGTACAGCCATAATGGAAACAAGCCTGTCCAAAAAGTCTCTATCGACTAACAAACGGGAAACAGGCCAGTCCAAATAGTCTCAATCGGCTAACAAACGGGAAATAAGCCTGTCCAAGCAGTCTCAATCGGCTAACAAACGGGAAACAGGCCAGTCCAAATAGTCTCAATCGGTTAACAAACGGGAAACAAGCCTGTCCAAGCATTCTCAATCGGCTAACAAACGGGAAACAAGCCTGTCCAAAAAGTCTCAATCGGCTAACAAACAGGAAACAAGCCTGTCCAAGCAGTCTCAATCGGCTAACAAACGGGAAACAGGCCAGTCCAAATAGTCTCAATCGGCTAACAAACGGGAAATAAGCCTGTCCAAGCAGTCTCAATCGGCTAACAGACGGGAAACAGGCCAGTCCAAATAGTCTCAATCGGCTAACAAACGGGAAATAAGCCTGTCCAAGCAGTCTCAATCGGCTAACAGACGGGAAACAGGCCAGTCCAAATAGTCTCAATCGGCTAACAAACGGGAAATAAGCCTGTCCAAGCAGTCTCAATCGGCTAACAGACGGGAAACAGGCCAGTCCAAATAGTCTCAATCGGCTAACAAACGGGAAATAAGCCTGTCCAAGCAGTCTCAATCGGCTAACAGACGGGAAACAGGCCAGTCCAAATAGTCTCAATCGGCTAACAAACGGGAAATAAGCCTGTCCAAGCAGTCTCAATCGGCTAACAGACGGGAAACAGGCCAGTCCAAATAGTCTCAATCGGTTAACAAACGGGAAACAAGCCTGTCCAAGCATTCTCAATCGGCTAACAAACGGGAAACAAGCCTGGCCAAGCAGTCTCAATCGGCTAACAAACGGGAAACAGGCCAGTCCAAATAGTCTCAATCGGCTAACAAACGGGAAATAAGCCTGTCCAAGCAGTCTCAATCGGCTAACAAACCTGAAACAAGCCTGTCCAAGCAGTCTCAATCAGCTAACAAACCTGAAACAAGCCTGTCCAAGCAGTCTCAATCAGCTAACAAACCTGAAACAAGCCTGTCCAAGCAGTCTCAATCGGCTAACAAACGGCAAACAAGCCTGTCCAAAAAGTCTCAATCGGCTAACAAACAGGAAACAAGCCTGTCCAATCAGTCTCAATCGGCTAACAAACGGGAAACAAGCCAGTCCAAAAAGTCTGAATCGGCTAACAAACGGGAAACAAGCCTGTCCAAGCAGTCTTAATCGGCTAACAAACGGGAAACATATCAAGGTTTGAATTACGAATGTCAGTTTCTTTCTACTTACATATGGTGTAAGTATTTGTACGATGCGTGACTTTTTGCCTGGCCGATCGTATTCGAAGCTAAAAACCATGCCCTCCTCCTCCATCTCGTAGCTCTTTACATCCTTCCACTGGAACTCTATCACCTGGGACTGAAAATACAGGTCAAAGGTCATTCCTCTAGATTAGTCCTTTAAATGGACTTTTAACACAGTTTAAAAGGCATTCCTTTTTAGCCTTCACCTTTAAAGTGAAGTAACAAAGGTCAGATGTCATCTTCCTAGTCATGACTTTTAAAGGGCTTTAACACAAACATATACTGATTTTTTTTTTGATTTCTTTTATCACAAAGTTATATTTTGTTAAGAATTTTAACACAAAGTCATATTTTGTTCAAACACTTCATTACAGGAGAATAAAACAACCTCAGAAGGAGGACTTTTCCTCCCAGACAATATCATTACCTCTGGTGTGCCATCATTTTTACACGCCTGCAATTTGAAACATTCACTTCCGATTATGCATATCACATGACCATCCTTGCGCGAGTCACATGCACAGTGAGGGAAAGCCACCTCACCATAGCCGTCTAAATGTCGGACAGTCTTCAGGTACTGGAAAATAAAACAGGGACACGTTATAAAACTCCAGGCACAAATAAACAGAGGTATCCAATAACACAAAGATATCTCAATATTAACTGATCCATCCGCCCCTGAATCTGCTTTGAAATAGTCATGAGAAAAAAATGTATATTCTTATCTTCACTTGGACAATCCACGAAAATTATACATTTGAAAACTTGTGACATATCAATATTATGTAAATGTCCTTACTTCCAATAGCACCGGGGGTGTAAAAGATTCTGCATTGTAAACATTCTGATTGAACATTGATCTCTCTGCTTTTTGTTTGTTACAGATTTTACAATGGGCAGTTGTTATGATTTTAGAAAAGAACTGTTCATGTCTGATGTAAAAAATTATACTCACTTCTATTCTTTTGCCAGAATCTTGTAGAGATTTTAACTCGTACAGTTTGTCTTCTGTCTTAATTTGCCCTCTATTTACACTGTCCACAGCCTGTCAAATGAAAAAACAACATTGAACACAACACATTGAACTGGTCATAGGCTATAGACTCTGACTCTCATTATCTTTGAATGACATGAAAGTTTGGTATAAAACAGATAACAAGTCAAATTCTTATCCCCAAAGCTGACCATGTGCTTCATCAAAATCTGACAGGTGTTTTCTAAATACAAGAGGCCCATACGGCCTGTATTGCTCACCTGGATAATTAAGCAACCATTGGAAAATATTCTCATGAATTATAATACTGCACCTACGGGTAGTTCTAAATATTGGCGCTATCTCTCAGCAACACCTGTCCCTCATTGGGAACCTTCTTTCTGACCCCATGAATTGGGGTGAATTTTAAACATTTACCTCAATTTTCCTACATTAAGGCCATAATAAATTAATTGCTAGATTCTCATCCAAATTCTTTTCAAAATTGGGGCGGGGGGGCGAATTTTATTTTTTATTTTTCCTAAAATTTGAAATGGTTGCAAATGTGTTAAAAAAAGTGCAATAAAGGCGCATGTTCAGTGTACATTTATCTTTATTTTTTGTTAATAACAACTTTGAGTATGCAGTATACACATTGAACNAGCCCCCTGGGGAGTCAGCCCCACCATTTGTACAATTTTTAATCACCACCACCTAGGGATGCTTCCAGTCAAATATGGTTGATATCCACTTCTTAGTTTCAGAGAAGAAGTCGCTTAAAGCAATATGGGCAAATTGACCCCTTTTGGCCCTGCCCCTCAGCCCCCTGGGGGGTCAGCCCCACCATTTGTACAATTTTGAATCCCCACCACCTAGGGATGCTTCCAGTCAAATTTAGTTTAATTCCAACCAGTGGTTAAGAAGAAGAAGTCGTTTAAAGAAATTGTTGACGGACGGACGGACGGACGGACGACGGACGCCACGGTATGGCATAAGCTCACCTTGGTCCTTCAGACCAGGTGAGCTAAAAATATGATTGCTTACTGAAGATGCACTAGTGTTATATTAACATCACTCTTTATACTATATAATCCTTTTGTACTGTACTAACCTCCCAGAAGAAGAAGTTGACGGCCAATTCGTCCGAGTTGAGCATGGTCTCCCGCGTGAGTGTGAAGAGCCACTTCCTCATCGTGATACAGGTGGCTGTGGCCGTACTGTAATTCTGGATATAAATGTTGTGAGGGAACTCTAGAGGTTGTAGCTTCCTCTCTGTAACAATAACACAGTGATGACATCTCTGTAACAATAACACAATGACGACATCTCATTTGAATCTGTCATTTTTCTATCTGATGATCCTACATCAAGTGGTATACAAATCCTTCAGAAATCTTTCTGGAGCCGGGCTCGTGACTGAAGGGTTACGGGTTCAAGTCACGGCATGGCACTGTGTTGTATCTTTGAGCAAGAAACTTTACTCCGCTTGTCTCAGTCTACTCAGCTGTAAATGAGTATGTGGTTGGGCAATGCTAGAAATGTAGAATGCTAGCTGTGAGCGCCGAAATGGCAGCACCGGCTGTATTCCCCAGGGAGCTGAGAAAGATATTGGCTGGTTGCAAAGGCCCTATAACCAGGGATAATAATTTGTGAACAGCTTTGAGACGACCTACGAACTAGGTTGTACAAAAAGCGGTATTTAAGAACTGCATTTATTTTTATTTTTATTCTTTTCTTGAATAGGTCAGGGATCAAAATATATATTACAGTTTCCTACATGTACCCAAACATTACATTTGTTTGTCATGTTCTTCAGAATACTTTTCATTGATAAATGTTAGAGGTCAAAATATAGGTTGCAGTGACCTACTTTTGGTTTGTAACACCTTGACTTCATTAGGTGTAATCACACGTAAATTTTGATGGTTCTTTTTGAAATGTTATAAGATAAAACACTGCTAAGAGATAGACAGATGGTCAACGTGAACGCTACTGTATATACCTCCACGCTTTATCAAAGAAAATGTATAAAACTGTCTAAAATGTACAGTTTAGAAAGATTTCTCTTCAATTATTGTTCAACTTACCAAAATTATATTCAACGGTTTCAAATAGATAAAAGCATTGAGCAGCAGCTTCAGACATGTTTAGTTTCACCACCACAGCCTGAAAGGATTAACAACCATAGATAAGTGTTATAACAAGCTGCTGTTTACAATACAGATTAAACCCACCTTTCTAAATCTCTGTAGTCGATCATTACGATTAATTATTCCACTGTGTGACCTCCTAAATACAGCACCAGAATTAAAACCAGGATAATTACAAAGAGGTGATAATTACAATGGGGTTTTTAATCCGATTTTCATATGAATTAATTCCTAAAGTTTGTAATTAGTAAAATTAAATTGAAGTAAAATCCAAACCTTTTGATGGATCGAAAAACCTTAATACACAATGCCATGGATAATGGAAGTGCTATTTTAAGTCACCAAAACTGCAGAGATTTTGCATTTGAATATATTATATGTATAATTGATTATTATATTTATATAACACTGGTAAGGTACCCCTTCATAACCAATCAGTGTTAAACAGTACAACCTTGATGGTGTAACAGGAACTATAATATAAAGAACAACAACACTGGTAAGGTACCCCTACATAACCAATCAGCAGTAATACAGTACAACCTCGATAGTGTAACAGGAACTATAATATAAAGACCAACAACACTAGTAAGGTACCCCTACATAACCAATCAGTGTAAAACATTACAACCTTGATGGTGTAACAGGAACTACAATATAAAGACCAACAACACTGGTAAGGTATCCCTACATAACCAATCAGTGTAAAACAGTACAACATTGATGGTGTAACAGGAACTGAAGTATAAAGACCAACAACACTGGTAAGGTACCCCAACATAACCAATCAGTGTAAAACAGTACAACCTTGATGGTGTAACAGAAATTATAATATAAAGACCAACAACACTGGTAAGGTGCCCCTACATAACCAATCAGTGTAAAACAGTACAGCCTTGATGGGGTAACAGGAACTATAATATAAAGACCAACAATACTGGTAAGGTACCCCTACATAACCAATCAGTGTTAAACAGTATAACCTTGATGGTGTACAGGAACTATAATATAAAGACCAACAACACTGGTAAGGTACCCCTACTATAACCAATCAGCAGTAATACAGTACAACCTCGATAGTGTAACAGGAACTATAATATAAAGACCAACAACACTAGTAAGGTACCCCTACATAACCAATCAGTGTAAAACATTACAACCTTGATGGTGTAACAGGAACTACAATATAAAGACCAACAACACTGGTAAGGTATCCCTACATAACCAATCAGTGTAAAACAGTACAACATTGATGGTGTAACAGGAACTATAATATAAAGCCCAACAACACTGGTAAGGTACCCCTACATAACCAATCAGCAGTAATACAGGACAACCTTGATGGTGTAACAGGAACTACAGTATAAAGACCAACAACACTGGTAAGGGACCCCTACATAACCAATCAGCAGTAATACAGTACACCCTTGATGGTGTAACAGGAACTATAATATAAAGCCCAACAACACTGGTAAGGTACCCCTACATAACCAATCAGCAGTAATACAGTACACCCTTGATGGTGTAACAGGAACTATAATATAAAGAACAACAACACTGGTAAGGTACCCCTACATAACCAATCAGTGTAAAACAGTACATCATTGATGGTGTAACAGGAACTATAATATAAAGAACAACAACACTGGTAAGGTACCCCTACATAACCATTCAGCAGTAATACAGTACAACCTTGATGGTGTAACAGGAACTACAGTATAAAGACCAACAACACTGGTAAGGTACCCCTCCATAACCAATCAGTGTTAAACAGTACAACCTTGATAGTGTAACAGGAACTATAATATAAAGACCAACAACACTGGTAAGGTGCCCCTACATAACCAATCAGTGTAAAACAGTACATCATTGATGGTGTAACAGGAACTATAATATAAAGCCCAACAACACTGGTAAGGTACCCCTACATAACCAATCAGCAGTAATACAGTACAACTTTGATAGTGTAACAGGAACTATAATATAAAGACCAACAATACTGGTAAGGTACCCCTACATAACCAATCAGCAGTAATACAAGGTGATGACCAGCTCTACCTACCTCATGCACCTGGTCAGCTGTATCGTTACGTCGGATAGTGACCACACACACACTCCTGTCTGGTAGTAACACCTTCAGTTCTACCTCCGAACTCGGTGTCTCCTATATAAATGTGAAACAATACAGTCCAAATGACAGTGATTCTGTTGCAAATGATTACAACTAAGCATCCAAATGACAGTGATTCTGTTGCAAATGATTACACCTAAGCATCCAAATGACAGTGATTCTGTTGCAAATGATTATAACTAGACATTGAAATGCCAGCTATTTTCTTAAGACAATGGGCATGCATTCAAAGGAAAGTGATCAGATTAGGCTAGACGTCAATTGGAATTCTAATAGCAGGACAAGCTCAAGAATACAAAAAAAATCTAATCAACATTGAATGTTTTATCTTTGATTGTTTATTATTTATTGCAGTTAAATTAACTGTTTAGGCCAGGCTCTGAATCAGCCAGAGTGTTGCTGTCATTGCTTCAGGTCGCCATTTACACATTTTACAAATGAGCTAGTACAGTCTGTGTAAAATGTATATCTAAGTAATAGATGGCCCGAGTACATTTCGACCCAGAACATTGACAATGACTGTATATCTAAGTAATAGATGGCCCGAGTACATTTCGTCCCAGAACATTGACAATGACTGTGTATCTAAGTAATAGATGGCCCCGAGTACATTTCGTCCCAGAACATTGACAATGACTGTATATCTAAGTAATAGATGGCCCGAGTACATTTCGACCCAGAACATTGACAATGAATATCGGAGTCTCCCTTTTAGTAGAATACTTAGAAGACTTACAGAATCCATTTCTGGTGAAGCGAGGAATTCTTGCATAATGTCGCTCTCCCCTATCACACGTACTGCACAAACTGAAACAAACAGATTTCCTGTAAGTTTGTCATCAATCTAGTTTTGTTATGCAACAGACCCTCTAAACAACTCAAACCTCTTCCAAAAGTGGAAACGTTTCCCGATACTACATTGTGACGATGACTTGTAATGTTCAGACAGCTCGGGTCTAGATACACTATTACAATAATTGATTTTATTGACTTATTCCATTAATTGTACACCAAGTTCAACCTTTATTTTTTTGCCATGTCCTAAAAGTCACTCAGTATGAACAACAAATATCATCAAATGTCAAATCAGTTTCATGGATTGAACCACTAAACTAAAGCTGCAGCCACTCATCTAGTTTATGAAAATACTTTTCCTGTGGTGCCAGGTAAACAGCCAGGTACACAGCCAGGTAATAAACAGCCAGGTAAACAAACAGCAATGCTCGGTCTTTATGTAGTAGACATTGTGTGATATCTGTATCTGGAATCTTACCTTTTTCTAAATATTGCTCTAGCCCACGCCGCCTAGCATCTAACTGTTGTTCTGAAAGCTGGAATAGTTTCTTGCCTGGCATTTTAGGAAAATTGAAATCTGTAAACTCGCGTTTTATTCGTGTATGTAGCGTATCAAATTCTCTGTATCTCCTTGAACACAAATGTCTACCAGCCATATAAATGTTGAACACCTAAAATGGAAACAATAAAGATCATGAATGTCAAGTCATAAATATGTGAATTTCTGAGCAGTGTATTACCTCTACTCTATCTTCCCCACATCTGGAAATGGTTTTATGATTGTCATGTGGCATCATTTTTTTCTGAACATTGTTGTATAATATAATATAAACTTTATTTATTTTACAATAATTATGAAACAAGTTATATTAATCACTCTTGTTGGCCTGGATGTTAGCGTGTGGGGGGAGGGGGCTGTTTTTGTGGGAGGAAACCGGAGTACCCAGCAGGTGACCCCATACCTTTTCACGTCCGATCGGGGAATTGAACCCTTGCCGCCTTGGTGAAAAGCAAGTGCGCTATCAACTGCACCACCCGACCACCCATCATAAAGATGGGTGGTCGGGTGGTGCAATTTTCCAATATATGATGAAATTGATTTATTGTATGGTGGGTGTTTGGATAATTGAGTTTTACAGTAACCAACAGTCACATGATAGCACATGATACACACATTACATGGGTTTCAGAAATAAACATGGAACAAAATTTAGTGGTCACTCAAGATTTGATAGTCCAGGCAAACAAAACAAGAGGCACAGAGGGCCTGTATACCACTCACCTTGATATTTGAACAATCATTGGGAAATACTCTCAATAAAAGTACTTTTGCAAAAATTTCCATCTATTGAGTCTCCTTGGCTTAAGAATTTTGAAGACTAAATGAAACTTTGTATTACTCTATCCAAGCATGCTACTGGTCAAATATCATCATGCAGGGCCTCCTGGTTTTGCAGAAGAAGTTGTTTAAAGATAATCACTTATTTGACCCCTTTGACCTCGAAAGTAGGTCAAAGTCATTTATTTGAGAAACCTTTATATCATTCTGTTTCAGGTACCTTCTAGCCAAATATCATTGTCCTGGTTAATGAGAAAAAGTTGTGTAAAGCTTTTAATAATTTTTACCATTTGACCTAAAAGTAGGTCAAGGTAATTTATTTGAGGAAACTTTATAGCATTTCATACCAGGTACCTACTGGCCAAGTATCATTACTCTTGGCATCCTGGTTATTTAGGTTTTTACATGACCTTGAAAGTAGGTCATTTATTTGAGGAAGCTGTATATCACTTCCCAGGTACCTATTGGCCAAATATCATTGCTCTATGCCTCTTGGTTATTCAAAAGAAGTTGTTTAAAGGTTATTATAATTTTGACCCTGTGACCTTGAAAGTAGGTCAAGGTCATTTATTGGAGGAAAGTTTACAGCACTCTGTGTTCCTGGTACGTACTGTCCAAGTGTCATTACTCAGGGTTTCCTGGTTATTCAGAAGATGTTTAAAGGTTTCAAACACAAGCGCTTCTTTGTGATCTTTAAAGTAGGTCAAGGTCATTTATTTGAGGAAACTTTATAGCACTTCATGCCAGGTACCTACTTACCAAGTATTATTTACATATGTAACTCCTGTGACCTTGAAAGTAGGTCAAGGTAATTTATTTGAGGAACCTTCATAGCATTCTGTCCCCGGTACCTACTGGCCAAATATCATGGCCCAAGATCCTTGAGTTCTTAAGAGGAAGTTGTTAATAGTAAAAGTTGATGAAAGACAAACACAGGATGGATGGATGACAGACGGACAACAGACAATACACCATACCATAAGCTCAACTGCCACTTCGTGCCAGGTGAGCTAAAAAAGACTGATCACGAACATGACAGAGTATATTTTTTATATAAACATTGTAATCTGGGCCATACATGGCGCTCGACACAGTATTATCACTGTAATCAGGGACATTATGGATCTTGACATGGTCATAATTTGTACAGGAAACACACATTATTGTCACAATCCAGTCAATACAGAGGCTTGACACAATGATAAAATACAATCATAACTGCAAGATAAATACACATTGCCTGCAAGATAATGGGTTCTGGTGTCCCCACAGAGCAATGGTGCATATTCTATAATCAAAGCGTAACAGCACCGGAAATATATTTGTCAAATAGATCAGAAAATCTATTCAACGGCAGCAAACACTTCTCCGGGCGCCTCGAGATTTGACAAAACAGGATGTATTCAATAACCGTTACTTCATCACCATTAGCTGTATCAGCAGCATCAACCTTTATATCCTTTGTCAACTGTACAATAACAGTGTTGTAATATCACCCGAGTTGATACCTAAACTACAACAATCTAAACGAAAAATTACACGTAGTAATAGGCTCATCCTCTTACAGTTTCTTGATACAATACAGTAACAGTAGGCTCATCCTCTTAGTTTCTTGATAAAATACATTAACAGTGGGTTCATTCTCTTACAGTATCTTGATAAAATACAGTAACAATAGGCTCATCCTCTTACAGTATCTTGATAAAATACAGCAACAGTAGGCTCATCCTCTTACAGTATCTTGATAAAATACAGTAACAGTAGGCTCATCCTCTTACAGTATCTTGATAAAATACAGTAACAGTAGGCTCATCCTCTTACAGTATCTTGATAAAATACAGTAACAGTAGGCTCATCCTCTTACAGTATCTTGATAAAATACAGTAACAGTAGGCTCATCCTCTTACAGTATCTTGATAAAATACAGTAACAGTAGGCTCATCCTCTTACAGTATCTTGATAAAATACAGTAACAGTAGGCTCATCCTCTTACAGTATCTTGATAAAATACAGTAACAGTAGGCTCATCCTCTTACAGTATCTTGATAAAATACAGTAACAGTAGGCTCATCCTCTTACAGTATCTTGATAAAATACAGTAACAGTAGGCTCATCCTCTTACAGTATCTTGATAAAATACAGTAACAGTAGGCTCATCCTCTTACAGTATCTTGATAAAATACAGTAACAGTAGGCTCATCCTCTTACAGTATCTTGATAAAATACAGTAACAGTAGGCTCATCCTCTTACAGTATCTTGATAAAATACAGCAACAGTAGGCTCATCCTCTTACAGTATCTTGATAAAATATAGTAACAGTAGGCTCATCCTCTTACAGTATCTTGATAAAATACAGTAATAGAAAAAACCGAAAACACTGATAAGTGAAATCATACATTTATGTCCATACATTACACTAAGATGTATGCCATATTTACAGGTAGAAAGCGACGCTCTGTTTAAGTCCACCTCCTACTTCAAACAAGTTTATTTCTTCTTTCAGTTTTTTTTATCCATGCAACAGCTTATTTCATAACAAGACGATGCTTCAAATTATACAGGTTCTTAAAACCAAATATAACTCGCTCCGCCTTCAAAAATCAATATACCTCACACAGCCTTTCAGTCCAACCTTTCAGATATGAGTTTTCATCAATATAACTCACACAGCCTTTCAGTCCAGCCTTTCATATATTAGTTTTCATCAATATAACTCACACAGCCTTTCAGTCCTACCTTTTATATATTAGTTTTCATCAATATAACTCACACAGCCTTTCAGTCCAACCTTTCAGATATCAGTTTTCATCAATATAACTCACACAGCCTTTCAGTCCTACCTTTTATATATTAGTTTTCATCAATATAACTCACACTGCCTTTTAGTTCAATCTTTCATATATTAGTTTTCATCAATATAACTCATCCAGCCTTTCAGTCCAACCTTTCATATATTAGTTTTCATCAATATAACTCACACTGCCTTTTAGTTCAATCTTTCAGATATTAGTTTTCATCAATATAACTCACACAGCCTTTCAGTCCTACCTTTTATATATTAGTTTTCATCAATATAACTCACACAGCCTTTCAGTCCAACCTTTCAGATATCAGTTTTCATCAATATAACTCACACAGCCTTTCAGTCCTACCTTTTATATATTAGTTTTCATCAATATAACTCACACAGCCTTTCAGTACAGCCTTTCAGATATTTAAGTTTTCATCAATATAACTCACACAGCCTTTCAGTCCAGCCTTTCAGATATTTAAGTTTTCATCAATATAACTCACACAGCCTTTCAGTCCAGCCTTTCAGATATTTAAGTTTTCATCAATATAACTCACACAGCCTTTCAGTCCAGCCTTTCAGATATGAGTTTTCATCAATATAACTCACACAGCCTTTCAGTCCAACCTTTCAGATATGAGTTTTCATCAATATAACTCACACAGCCTTTCAGTCCTACCTTTTATATATTAGTTTTCATCAATATAACTCACACAGCCTTTCAGTCCAACCTTTCAGATATCAGTTTTCATCAATATAACTCACACAGCCTTTCAGTCCAGCCTTTCAGATATTTAAGTTTTCATCAATATAACTCACACAGCCTTTCAGTCCAGCCTTTCATATATTAGTTTTCATCAATATAACTCAAACAGCCTTTCAGTCCAACCTTTCAGATATTGGTTTTCATCAATATAACTTGCACAGCCTTTCAGTCCAACCTTTCAGATATTAGTTTTCATCAATATAACCCACACAGTCTTTCAGTCCAACCTTTCAGATATTGGTTTTCATCAATATAACTCACACAGCCTTTCAGTCCAGCCTTTCATATATTAGTTTTCATCAATATAACTCACACAGCCTTTCAGTCCAACCTTTCAGATATGAGTTTTCATCAATATAACTCACACAGCCTTTCATATATTGGTTTCATCAATATAACTTGCACAGCCTTTCAGTCCAACCTTTCAGATATTGGTTTTCATCAATATAACTTGCACAGCCTTTCAGTCCAACCTTTCAGATATTAGTTTTCATCAATATAACTCACACAGCCTTTCAGTCCAGCCTTTCAGATATTGGTTCCATCAATATAATTCACACAGCCTTTCAGTCCGACTTTTCAGATATTAGTTTTCATCAATATCACTCACACAGCCTTTCAGTCCAGCCTTTTAGTCCAGCCTTTCAGATATTGGTTTTCATCAATATAACTCACACAGCCCTTCAGTCCAGCCTTTCAGATATAATGTTTTTGCATCAATATAACTCATACAGCCTTTAACACAACCTTTCAGATATTGGTTTTCATCAATAT